TTCCCTGGTCAAGGAAGCTCAGGGTGTCCTGGAAGCTTAAGAGTGTGACTTTCGTTTGAGTCCAAAGAGATCCCTCCATACCACCTTTCTTATTCTTATTCTTCACTAAATACATTGTGAAGAATACATTTAATTTTTTAATTAAAATTTTAATTTTATTTGTATGGGTGTTTTGCCTGCATGTATGTCTGTGCATGAAGTGCTTTCAGAGGCCAGAAGAGTATCAAGTTCCCTGGAATTAAAGTCACAGATGGTTGTGAGATGCTGTGTAGGTGCTAGGAATCGAACCCAGATCTTTCTGAAGAGTAGCAAATACTTTCAACCTCTAAGCCATCTCTGGCAGCTGCATTGCATAGTTTATTGTATACTTTCATTGTATATTTTTGTGGTGCTGATCATGACATCCTCTGCCTCAAGAATACTAGGCAAGTGTTCTGCTAATGAGTTCTACCTATTTTCCTTTTTTGTGACAGCATCTCTTATTTTCCTCTTGCTGGCCTCAGAGTCAATCTTGCTTTTCAGCTTCCAGGCACAACTTGTTTTGTAACTTTCAGTTTTTAAAGATGATGCTTCATGTAGCCCAGACTAGTCTTGAACTATGTAGCTGAGGATGACCTTGACTTTCTCATCCTCCTTCCTCTACCTCCTAAGTACTAGGACTAGAGGTTTGTCCTGCTGTGCCTGGTTTACATAGTGTTAGGAGTGTAATCCAGGCTTTTGTGATTCTCTGCAAGTACCACTAACTGGTATATCCCTGGCCACTTGCATTATAAAATTTTTTTTAAGACTTATTTTTAATTACATGTAGAGATGTACATGTCAGTGCAGATGTCTGCAGAGACCAGAAGAAAGTGTCATGTTTCCTTTGATCTGCCTGATGTGGGTGCTGGGAATTGAACCTAGTTCCTTAGGAAAAACAGCCACTCTTTACCACTGAGCCCTCTCTCCAGACCCCGCTCCCCCCACATTGTACAATTTTGTTCTGTGGGTTTTTTGTGTGTGTGTGTGTGTGTGTGTGTGTGTGTGTGTGTGTTTCAAGGTAGATTTTCTCTGTAGCTTTGGAGCCTGTCCTGGAACTAACTCTTATAGATCAGGCTGGCCTGATCTCACAGAGATCTGCCTGCCTCTGCCTCCCAAATGCTGGATTAAAGGCTGCGCCACCACTGCACAGCTTATACATTTGTTTTAAGCCTTTATTTTATGTGTACAGTATTTTGCCTTGATGTATGTCTGTACACTGCATACATGGTGCTCATGGAGACCAGAAGAGACCATTTCATCCCCTGGGACTAGAGTTACAGAGCTAGTAGTTAGCCACTGTGTGGGTTAGCACGTAGTGACTGGAGGAGCAGCCAGTGCTTCTAACTGCTCATTGTAAAACCTTCATACTTTTTTGATGCCTCAGTATCCCTCAGGCAAGTCTCTCAGATGTGCTAGTGTGATAAGGACGGTCTGTGCCTCAAGTTGTTTTCATTGCCACCACCGATAGTGACCTAATTATCAATTAAATCCCTCCACAACTTTTGCACACATGGTCCACCCAGACTCCCAGGAAGACTCCTGTGTTTGTCAGTGACAGAAATGCGAGAGAAATGTGCCACATTGCTCTCATGGAAAGATAAATTTAGGCTCACTGTTTTAGAAGTTTCAGTCCGTGATCTGGTTGCCCTGTGGATTTAGGCTTTAGGTGAGACTGAGCATCCAGATGCAAGAGCGTGGTGAAGGAGGTTGTGTTGTACCTCTTGGCAGCCAGAACAGGAAAAACCACAGGATGGGGGCCAAGGACAAGACACACCCATCAAAGGGAGTCCCCAGTGACCTACTTCCTCCAGCTGGGTCTCCAGGAAATATCTACCATCTTTCTGTAAGGCTGTCTGTGATGGTTTATACTGATTTTCTACCTGATAGTACCTAAAATTGTCAAGGAAATGAGCCTCTGGGTATACCTGGGAGAGATCAGGCAGATTTGGGCAGGGGCACCCTGAATAGACAGCATGGTTCTGTCTTGGACTGGAAAGAAAGTACTGAGTAGCAGTATCCACGCCTGCTTCCTAACTGCGAACGCAGTGGGACCAGCTGCCTTGGCCAGGGTCAGCTGTACTCTAGAACTGTGAGCTGTAATACATTTTTCTTCAAGCCACTTCAGTGGGGATGTTTCTTCACAGTGACAGAAACACTGATGAGGTCAGAGCCTTCTGGAGCCGTCAGTCTCAAACCCTGCCTCTGAACATGCAGCTTTAGGAATCGTGCTTCTGACATGAACCTTTCTGTAGGCCTTCACTTTCTCTCAGCTGTCCTCCAATTTGCTACAATTCCTCTGTTCTGTGTGGTTCCCTGTTTTTCTGTATGGTGTTTCTCTCTAGCACCTGTGAATAAATCTTCAGTTCACATCATTTCTCCAGTATAAGTCTTTTTTTTTTTTTTTTTTTTTTTTTTGGTCATGACAGAGTGATCCTCGAAGATCTCATGCAGACTCACTCTCCAGTTTACAATATGTTGACCAGTGCCCTAGTTTTCTCTTGAAACATTTGATATTGATCATGGTTGTCATTTGTCCTGTTAGAGTTTGTGTATTGCACTAATAGCCTTGTAGTATTTCTTCTAAATTTTTCAAAAATTCATTAATTTATTATTTATTTTGGGTCAGTCATGCTATGTAGCCAAGGCTGCCTCAGCCTCCTTTGTGCAGGAATTACAGGTGTTCACCATCATACCTGGCAGGCCTTAGATGGTGGAGCTGAGTGTTAAGCACATTTAAAAGACTTTATCTGAGGACTGGGGAGATGGCTTTGCAAGCAGGGAACGTGGGTGGGTTTGAGTCCCTAGTACTCATGTTAAAAAAATAAGTTGGGTGTGGTGATGTGGGGCTGTAACTCCAGTGCTAGAGGGATGCAGAGACTGTTGGACTCCTGGAGCCCACTGCACTGTCAGTCTAGAATACAGTCTGGTCTAAATTTAGTAAGAAATACTGTCTCAAAAAATAAGAGCCATAGAGGAAGATTCCAAATAGCAATCTCTGGCTTCCACATATGCCTACACAGGCAAGTACAGCCACATATATAAGTAAATAAAAGAGCCTTTTTTTTTTTACTTTAAAGACTTACAAAATTAATTTTTCCATTTATTTATTTTGTGGGTGTTGTGAGGTATGCTCATGCTTGGGCTATGGAATAAGATAATATCTCAACAAAGCCTACCGTGGTTGGGGATATTGTGGGAACGTAATTACTGCCATGCATGAGCCCTTACGTTCTATCCCAACATTGGCTCCTGGCAGCTAAAAGCATGTGTTCGGCCTCCCAAGACAGGAGCCATAGTTGACAGTGCCGCTCAGTCACCCACAGATGATATTGTGGTTCATTTGATTTTACTGGGTGTCTTTCCCACTGTAAGGAGCGCTGCTACTTTCTGTATCTGAGAGGCCCCAGCATGGGTTAGCAAGGGATCAAAGGTCAAGATTCTAGGGATAATTGTAGTGGGCTCTGTTTGTCCTTGGAGTCTAAATGTGATTTTTTAAGGACATTATTTAGTCTAGTGTTTGGGATCAACTAGAGAGTAAGCTGCATAGGGATTTTGTGAGGGTGGATTTTGTTGGTGGCTAATGGGCTATGGGACTCTTAGGGTTCAGTGAAGCACACTGTGTAGAGCACTAGGTAAGATGTGTTCTGTTGGATCTACAACATCTCATTTGTGGGGAGAGAACGTACGCCAGTGTGCATGTGGCAGTAAGGAGTTAGCTCCCTCAGTCTCCCATGTGGGACATGGGGAGATTCAGCAGTAAGAACCTTTGCCTGCCAAGCCATCTCATTGGCCCTTATTTATTTATGTGTGTGTGGGGGTTGGATACTGGGAATTGAACCTGGGGTGTGACATGTGCTAGGCAAGGGCTGTGTCACTGAGCTACATCCTTTTTCTTTTTGAGACAGGATCCCACTAACTTGCCCAGGCTGGCCTTGAACTCATTTCGTAGCCAAGCTAGCTTTGAGCTTTGATCCTATCATTGATCCTGTCCTTTTGCTCCAGCCGCCCCAGGAGCTGGGATTACAGGTCTGGGTTTGTTTTGTTTAACTATTGCTATTTGGCTCAGACTGGCTTTGAAGTCTTCTTACTTCTGTCTTGAAAGGTTTGCAAAGCCTCCCCCATCATACCTGGTTTTCATGGGCTTTTGTGTGTGTTTTTAAAGTGTTAATCTTTAAAATACATAAGGTAACAATAAAAGAAAAAATGAAGGAAATTGTTGAAGAAATGGAAAAAAACCTTGAAAACAAAAACATCAACCTCTCTGGCTGGGGATTCAGCTTCAGTGGTTTAGCATCATGAGAAGAGGGACTTCGGTCTATGCCATCACTCAGAAGGTAGAGGCAGGACTGAGTTCAAGGCCAACCACATCTTCCTGTTGGGCGGGAGGCTGAATAGAGAAGAAAAAGGCAAACTTAATACTTATTTTATTTCTAAAATACCTGGTACTCTTTACTTTAAAAGGTCTGCATACTGAAGAGCTGGGCGGATTCTGGCCAGTCCTTGACTCTGTACCAGTATGAACAGGAAAGGGCATTTATTATTTTGTATATATTATTCTAGTGTTTCCAACCAAGACTGTAGTGCTTGAAATGTGCTCTGAGTTGGTGTGTGTGTGTATGGTGTGTGTGTGTATGTGCCGAGGTCAGAGGCAAATGTTGGGTGTGTTCTGCAGATAGTGTGGGCTGCCATGTGGGTGCTGGGAATTGAACCCAAGTCCTCTGGAAGAGCAGGCAGTGCTCTTAACCACTGAATCATCTCTCTTGCCCTCAGTTCCTTTAAAAAGCAAAATCCCTGTCAATTCTTATTCTAATCTCTTGTCAAAGATGATGCAGCCAGTGTTAGTTTTCTTTCTGTGTTGCTATCTTGTCCCAAACCAGTTTGCAGTTTTGTGCTTCCTTTGTGTGTATATATGCAGGACTTTCTCCTCCCCTGCTTGGTTTTCCCTGTAGCACTTATGTTATGATTATATTTCCCCATAGGACTTCTAGATCTTTACAGAACAGGATATTTTCTGTATCCTTCCCTGCTCTGCTCATGCCTACCACAGGAATAGGACTTCCTAATAATTTGCTGAAAGAATTAAAGAATAAGCCAGACCTGAAATAAACTTCCAGTACCTACAGTAAATGAAATAGAAGAGGTAAGATTATTTGTAATAATGTTTTTATTTTTAACCCGTATATTGAAAATACCATTTTAGTACATAATAGAAAATTTAGATGCTTACTTTCTTTTCCAGACATTTGATTTATGTTTATGATAATGAGGTTAGTAGTTTTAAAAGATTTGGAACCTGGGGGTATAGATTAGTGGTAGAGTATGTGTTTAGGTTACATGAGGCCCTGGGTACAGTTTACAGTCACACACAAGACTGGGTATGTAGCCCCATGATAGAGTGTTTGGCTAGCATACACAAGGCCCTGAGTTCCCAGCACCACATAAACCAGACATGGTGGACACATCTGCAGTTCTAGTAGCTGTGAGTTAGAAGTAGAAGGATCAGAAGTTGCATGGTGAGTTCAAGGCCAGCCCTTATAACACACTATATGAGATATTTTCCTTAAAAAAGAAAGAAAAGAAAAGTAAGATAGATTCAAATAGACAAGGGTTTTCCAAACTTCTTGTTTATTTTTTGAGACATGGTTTTTGTTTTTTGAGAAAGGGTTTCTCTGTGTAGCCCTTGCTGTCCAGGAAGGTCAGGCTGGCCTCAAACTCACAGAGAACTGCCTGCCTCTGCCTCCCGAGTGCTGGGATTTAGGCATGCGCCACCCCTACTTCCCCATTTTTTGTTTCTTAACTTGGTATCTTTATGTGAGGCCCTAACTTACAGTCTTCCTGCATTGGCCTCTTAAGTGCTAGTATCAAGTGTGTGGCATCGGGCCTTGCACCAGACATACTTAAGAGTTGTCAAATAGCAGTCATGTTAATTTTTAAAAACATTTCAGTTTTAGTTTTTTAAAATTAAGTCATAGTATATAGCTATGAAGTAGTCATTTACATATGGAGTAGTGAATCCTGAGTAGTGCTGTGGTGGGCCCATGTTTGGTCATGTTAGGGATCAATAGTGGTCATAGGAAATCAAACTTTCTGGACAAACTCAGCTTCATCAACTCGGTTCATTTCCAAGCAGGTAATACTAGACTAGTGCTGCCTGGATGTGGGTGTTTAGCGTGGGTAACATCTACTGATATCTGCTGTGTAGGATGGTTATGATAACATGGGAGCTAGATACGTAAAGGTGCTAGCGCAACTTCTGACAAAACTGGTAAATGTAAATGAGTATGGCTATTGTTAGTAAGTAGATGTTTGCTGGTGGGTTCACATATATTATCTGCAGAGAGTGAGCACTATTGTGTGATGTTTGCTGACTGACGTTCGATGTTGTTGATTAATGATTGATGTGAACAGGACTCCATATAACCCTGTATTAAGAGGAATGGAGATTGCCTCTGTCCACTTAGATTCATAAGCTGTCCCGAAGTGATCTTGGCCTCAGGGAAGGGAGTGTTCAGGCACATTTCACCATCAGCATCACGGGATGGCAGCCATTGATTTGTCCCATGGTAAGTCCTTGTTGAAGCTCTTTTTTAGACTGTTTTAGGTCTCTCCTGTACAGCAAAGTCCAGTGGGCAGGGCTTCAGTAGTCTTGTGTGTTGAATCATTCACAAAGAGCTGAAATGGGTCACATAATAGTGTCTGTGATTTAGGGTCCCGGTGTGTATGCTTTCCGAAGAGGTGCTGGATAATTGTCATGAGTTCTGTCACCAGGGGCAATTTAGAGTCATGTTTTTCTTTTTACTTTTTGTTTTATTTAATCATTATTGTGTGTATGTATTTGTGTGAGTGAGGGTACATGTGGAAGTCAGAGGACTTTTTTGGGAGTCAATTTTCTCCTTCTGTTGTGGAATCCTGGGATCAAACTCTGGGCATCAGGTCCGAGCACTCAGACTAGCCTGATGGTGCCATCTCACCAGCCCCAGAGTCAGTTTTTTTCACACCTTAAGTTTCTCTACTAAGTGAGAACACTCCCTTCCTCAGCAGGTAGCACAGTTCCTAGCCTGCTTCCCTGACTCCAGAGGAGACGGAAGTGCTTTGGCATTTCTTGGTAGGAACATGTATTTATGTGGTGTGATGAGTGTGCAGATGACAGGGGAATGTCATACTAGAGTGGAATGACTTCATGGCTGTGGGATTTGATGCCGTCTTTCTTTCCTATCAGGCCTTCTTTCTAGAGAGCCTATCTATATCTATGAAGAAAACACAGAGGTAGAAGAGACAGTGACTGACAACCAGGCAAATTGTTACCAGGTAAAAAGAAAGAATATCATTCTACCAAATAGAATTTTTCATCTGTGATCTAGATATTCTTCCTTCTGGAGTCTAGAATCTAGACAGACTCACCCTCCAGGATTTAAAGGAAATGCATTTTCCCTAGGGGCTAAAGTGTGTCTGATAAATTTTCCTAGGGAGCAGAGCCTTATATTGGTGACATGTTACCTTGCAAACCATACTAGCATTTCTGTAATTGCTGCGTACTGTGTTTGCTTGGCTGGGGATTGAAGCAGAGCCTTTTTAGCCATGTTAGGCACATCCTTTACCACTAAGCTGTATCCCCAATTGACTAGGTAATCTTTTTATTTCTTTGTTTTATTTAAGGTCTGGCTATATAGCCTAACCTTGAACTCAATAGTCCTGGCTAGTCTCAGCCTTCCTCCCCTATCACAGACCTCTACTTACTAACCCTGAGCCTCATGTGTTACCTATATGTTTTTTGTTTTCTTGAGTGCTCTGGCATATGATAAGACTGGCAAGAGCACCCTTTTCTCAGATGGTCTGCTTATTAGATACTGCAGTGAGACAGTAGGGCCAGAAGAGCGTCTGTCTGGCTATGCTGGTAGAAGTCATGTTTAGGAAATGCTGCTGAAATCATGTGACAGGAGAAGGTCAGCAGAGTGAGGTTAGAGAGAGTTCCTGGGGCCATTGATTCCTGCAGCTGGATTGAGGCTGATCTGAGAACCATGGATAGGTATTAGGTCCACCTTCCTAATTTTCCATTGAGTACTAGCAAGACTCAAACCAACATGTGTGTGATGGTTTAGGATTCAGTGACCTTCGATGATGTGTCTGTGGAATTCACCCAAGATGAGTGGACGTTACTGGACCTGACTCAGAGAAACCTGTACAGAGAGGTGATGCTGGAGAACTATGAAAACCTGACCTCCATAGGTAAGGCTGCCATATTCCTCATTACCTTTTATGAAACAGGCACATACTGCATGCTTCTTAATGTGTTAGGAATTGATCGTGTTAGTTATGAGTATAATGGAATGACAGGTGCAATTTTTAAAATGAAACTGCTTTTGTGTGTTGGTGGGGTCGAGGGACTCACACCTTTAATTCCCGCACTTGAAGAGGCAGAAGCAGGTAGATTTCTGAGTTTTAAGGTTTATATAACAAATTTCAGGCCAGGCTAAGAAACCACGACTATATAATAAAAAAAAATTAAAAAAGAAAGAACAAAACAAAAAACCAAACCCCAAACTGACTTTTTGTAAGCACGCACATGGCACATGCTGTCATGCAGAAACCAGAGGGGGCACTTGTTGTTTCTGCTCTCACTGCCTTATTCTTTTGAGGCAGGCTTTCTCCCTCAACTAGAGCTCTTGTGTTTTCAGCCACTCAGCCCTATCAACCCTGTCTACCCCGCACACCCGCACAGGACTGTAGTTACAGCATATTCAAGACCATGCTCAGCTTGTTATGTGGGTTTCTGAGATCAGAACTCAGGTTCCTGTAATTATGCAGCAAACCCTCTTAATCACGAGCCGTGTTCCCAGCTCCAACAAATACAGTTCTTACCATGATACATAGTAATCCACAGTGCAGTTCTTTTCTTTTCCCTTTCTTTCCTCTCCCCTTCCTCCATCCAGTATACTCCCCACTCTCCTTCAAATTCACGGTCTCTTTTCATTAATTGTTGGTGTGTGTATGTGTATTCCTAAATATATAATTACAGTCTACAAAGTCTGCATAGTTTTACTTATTTACATTTTCAGGTTTACTGATTGGGTAACCGATTGCTGTGGTCTTCTCCCCATCTTAGCATACCTTGGTTGTCTGTAGTTCTCTATGTGGGGTTGAGACCTCATGAGCTTCCTTGAGCCCCTCCCATATGAGCCTGTCGGAGTTCTCCTTGACCAGCTCATTTAGACAGTCATGTTCTTGGTAATTTATGGGTGTAACTTCTGACATTACTAAAAGATATAATTACAGCAAAGTCTCTGATCCTCTTCTTCCAAAATGTAGAAATGTCTCCTGAACCTTAGGCGCAGGAGTTGTTTTATAGCTGTATCCATTGTGACATCAGCATTTTGATGGGTTATTGTTTTTCAAAGAGAAGTCTCTTTGGGGGTGAGGACTATCCTTATATGTGGGATATAAGACAAATATGTAGAATACAGTTGGATTATGCTGATTTGCTAAGTGGTGACTGTAGGTTCTGCAGGATCCACAGTTTCCAGTATTAGGTGTGATTTACTCTCAGGGAGTCTCAAGGCCAGTGAGAGAGCTGTTGTCACCTCCAGGGCGAGCGTGTCACTTTTCTGTCCTTACGGTTATCATGCGGCGCTGGTTGTTGTTGTGGTTCAGAGGTATCATAGCTGGGTTGGACTCATTTGCTTGCGCTTTGGAAGCTTGCAAAGTCGTTTCTGGATCAGGGCCATGGGCCTTGTGTCTGAGGCGCTTGGTGTCATCAGCAATTGGGACTTAACCTTCTGCCTTTATGGGCCAACCAAGGGCAGCAACAATAATCTGTAGTGTTTTTGAAGTCTCTTGGACAACCCTGTTCAACAACTCAAAAGTTCTCATATCCGATGTTGAGTTTTTGTTAGATGGTCTTGGCTATTTGAGGGAGTATTGTCAGTTCAGGTGGGAAAACTTGATTTAAACCTATATTATACACACCAACTTAGGTGTACAATGGGTATTTTTAGGTAGTCAATATTATGATTCCTTAAAGCTTTTCCAGATATCCTTACTGTTATTTTACCCTCTCTCCTTCTGTATAGTCTCCCTCCCCCATTTTTCTTATTTCCCATTTCATATCACCTAAATTCTGTTCTCTCTGTTGCTGCCCCACTCTCCTGACTCCAGCAAGGCTCCTCTCTACTTTCCTGGTTTCTACAGCTGCTCCAGGTTGTGTACTCATCTGGGTGCCTCCGATCTGAGAGCAGAACATGTCTGTCATAGTTCTGTGGACCCCATTTTCATTGATTAAAGGGCATTTAGCTTGATTCCACTTCCTAGAACAGAGCAGCACTGAACATGGCTGAGCAACTGCTGTGGAGTAGGAGTTGAAGTCCTGGGACACAGGCCAGGGAGTGGTCTAGCTGGGTCATATGGTAGATTTAGTTTAGCTTTTCTAGAGTTCTCTACACTGGTTTCCATAGTGGCTGTGTCAGTTTGCAGCCCACCAGCAGTGGATGGGGCTCCCTTTTCTCCTCTTCCCCTTCAGCACTTGGTACTGGTTATTTGCTGATCTTTGTCTTTCTGAGTGGGATAAGATAAAATCTCAAAGTCATTTGGATTTGCATTTCTTCAATGCTAACGATGCTAAACATTTAATTTTTTTTCATGTAACGCATTTTGATTCTATTTTACCCATCACTGTTCCCTCCCAGATCCTTCCTAATAATGGACATTTAAAAAAGATATTTTTTAGCCATTTTTTTCTTTTTTGAGAACTCTAATTTTGTTTTCTTCTGGAATTAAAGGTGTGCACCACATCTGTCTTTTTCTTTTTTTCTTACTCTTTTGTTTTCCTTTTTCTTCTCCACTTTCTTTACCATTTTCCTTTCTCTTTTTTTCCCCCTCATTGTGACTTTCTCCTATTTGGCAATAAAATCTTCTGTGTATAGTCCAGGCTGGCCTCACACTTGGAGTTCTTTGTCCTCATCCTCCCAAGTTATGAGATTTCAAGTTTCATACACCACTTAGTAGACTTGTTTTGGGGGGGGACGGACAGAGATGAAATCTCAGGCTAGTAGTGACATGCTAGTAAATTCTCTATCCTTGAGGTGCAGCTCCTCTTGAAAGTGTATATTAACTTGCATTTGACTTTCAGGGATCCTTTTTGGGACACAGAAATAGGAACATTGTGTTTGCTTTTATGGTGCTAAAAATTGCTCTTAGAGCCTTGGGCACGTAAAGCAGGCATTTACCACTAAACTATATCCCACTCTCCCCTGTATTTGTATTTTTGCTCATTTTGAAAGATTACCTTGCTTCCATTTGAACTGTGATTTCCTTAGCCGTATGAAAGTTTGTCATCTTTTTTTTGAAGCTCTTCCACTCATGTTTCTGTGTATACAGGATGTCAGTTCTTCATTCCTAGTCCGACCCCCTGGTTAAAACAAGAAGAAGAGTTGGAGACGGTGGAAATTACAGTTCCTGAACGTGAGTATGCATGTAGAAATCCGTTTGAGTTCAGTATTGTTATCAACCATAATCAAGTTTTCTTACAACTTGATTAGAGCCATTTTTCTCAGAGTTTGAGATATCTTCCATTTTACATAATCTGTTGTTTCTCTCTATTCTTGCATAGCTGTGGTCTTACAACACTATGTGTTCCATTTCCTAAGTTTACTCCTTCAATATTAACTGTTTTCCCAGACCTTTCTGACTTTCCTGTTGCTGTAATTGCTGTAGGATCAGTTTGTAATACATAAAATGTTGATTCTACTTTTTTTTTTAATTTTATTGTTTTTCTTTCTTTTTTTTTATTGCAGCTTTTTGTTGTTTTTGTTTTGGAGGTACTGGGAATTGAGCCCAGGGTCAGGGCCTGTGAGGCAACCATTTTACCCACTGAGCAGTTCTGTCGCTAAATTTTTGTCATAACAGAATCCTTAAATCTGTGCAGTTACTTTCTTTCACATGTAGGAGAGAGAGTGTGTGTGTGTGTCTGTCTGTCTGTCTGCATGTCTGTGTGTGTGTGTGTGTACACATCCCAGCACACCTATGGAGGTCATAGAATAACTTTGGAGTCAGTTTTCTCATTTCCAAGGCTTGAACTCAGATTTTCAAGTTTGGTAACAAGGTGGTCTCCACCTTTTATTTTGAGACCAGGCCTGTCACGGACCTAGGGTTTACTAACTGGGTGAGGCTGGCTGAGCAATGCGCCTGAGGGAATCTGTCTTTCTCTGCTGCTCCAGTACTGGGATTATTAGCATCTATCACTATTCCTGGTGTTTCAAAGTGGGTTATGTAGGGTTCAAACTCTGTCTTCTTGATTTGCCAACTAGCCATCCCCCCTGCTCCTCCCTTTTCCTTGTTTTCTGTTACTAATTTTGAAAGTGTCGTAATGTAGCCCAGGCTGCTCTTGAACTTAAGATTCTCTGGTTTTTGCCTCTCAGGCCGTAAGATCACAGTCCTGCACTGTCAGGTCTGTCTCATTTCATTTCCTTATCTCTTTGTTTTCCGCCTTCGCCGTTCATGTCTGAGCCATCTTTCCAGCCTTCATTTTTATTTTTTTAATGTGCCTAATTTGAAAAGAAGGACAAATAACCCTTACCACCTTTGAATTTCTTGTACATACCACTTGTTTTCTGAACTTTCTACATTTCTCTTTCTGTTTAACTTCAGAATTGGAATTACAACCCGATGATTCAGAGCTTCCGGATTACTTTAAGATGCCAAGTTCCAGTGCGGTAGAAATGGTGAGATCAGCAAAGGATTTTCTCCCTCATACTCAAAAGGGGGGGGGTCCCTCTGTAGAAAACTCTTTGAGATGAGAGATATTTGAGATGAATAGTCTAAACCCAAGAGGAATTAATACTTCTGGAGAACTATTTGGGATATCATGAATTGGGAAATTCCCCAAATATACCATAAAGATTATGTCTCATTGTTTCCACTAGTATGTATTTCTACATATACAATAGACATAGAAGTTTTTAGCAATTTTAAGGAAGTTTATACCTTTTTAAGGAATGCATGTAATTAGCCAGTCATCACGATTTTGGCCAAGGGATTTTGTCATTCAGTTTGGAAAAAATAGAAGTCAGGAAATAAATGCATGGAAAAGAAATTGTAAAGCTCATAATGAACATAAAAATGTTTGTGTCTTCAGGTACCTGATTCAGCCCTTCCTCAACAGTCAGGAAACCACAGTGAAGGTGACTTGTGTGACTCTAAGCCATGTGGAGAAGTGCTGGGTGAACAATTATGCCTTAACCCAGAGGTGAGCATGCAGAGCCAAGGATACAGTGCTGAGTGTAACTGGTATGGGAAAGACATTCTTTCTTTGCTCAAGGAAACCTCTACTGGACAGAACATTTCTGAGCTTAATCAGTGTGGAAAAATCTTCAGTCTGACGCCAAACATCATATACCCGAGCACTAGCACAAATGAGAAACCCTTTGAATGCACAGACTATGACACAGTCTTTTTTAATCAGCCATACTTTCAGGCAGATATGAGGCCTCAGAATGGAGGAGAACCATTTGACTGGAATAAATATGGGAATGGTTTTATTCATCCCACAAGCTTTGCTATGCATCTTCCAATTCTCAATGCAAGAACCCCCTACAAATTTGAGGAATGTGGAAAGGATTTTCAATATTTTGCATGCCTTAATAATCCCATGGGAATGTGCACTGGAGAAAAATTCTGTGACTGCAAGGAATGTTGGAAAGCCTTCACGGTTTCCTCACACCTAACTCAATATGTCTCAATTCATACTGAAGAAAAATCCAAAGTATGTAAGATATGTGGGAAGTCCTTTGCTAATTTTTCTCGACTTTCTGCACATGTAAAAACTCATAATGAAGAAAAGCCCTTTGTATGCAAGGAGTGTGGAAAGGCCTTTAAAAATATGTCATACCTTAATGATCACGTTAGAATTCACACTGGAATAAAATCATACAAATGTATGGAATGTGGGAAAGCCTTCCTTCGATGGTCAGGCCTCACTGAACACATAAGAGTTCACACTGGGGAAAAGCCTTACGAGTGTAAGGAATGTGGAAAAACCTTTTCTAGATCTACTCAGCTTACTGAACATATAAGAACACACACTGGAATCAAACCTTATGAATGTAAGGAGTGTGGGAAAGCCTTTACTCAGTACTCAGGCCTTGCCACACATGTACGAATTCATAGTGGAGAGAAGCCCTTTGAATGTAAGGAGTGTGGGAAGGCCTTTACCAGGACCTCTGGCCTGATTCATCATGTGAGAACTCACACAGGAGAGAAGCCTTTTGAATGTGTTCATTGTGGGAAAACCTTCATAACTTCCTCCCATCGCACAAAACATCTGAAAATTCACAGTGGCGAAAAGCCCTTTGTATGTAATGTATGTGGGAAAGCATTTATATATTCCACATCCCTTAACATTCACATGCGAACCCATACTGGAGAGAAGCCCTATATATGTAAGCAGTGTGGGAAAGCATTTGCTGTTTACTCACGTCTAAGGAAACATAGCAGAGTTCACACTGAAGAGAAGCCCTATCAATGTGAGGGTGTGAGTGTTACTATTTAGCCCATCTATTGCCACCTTTAAATATTGACAGTGACACCAAAGATCATCAAGTTAGTCTTAGCTGCTTTGTGTGGGTTGTAATGGCTCACATTGGCCTTAGACACCATCCTAATTTTATGAAATAGGATTATTTAGGTGCCCCCTCAAACTTTTCTTCTTTTGGGCAGTTTTGAGGATTGACCTAGAATATTACACATGCTAGGCAAGCACTCAATCACTGAGCTACATCCCTGGAACCTTTTCATGAATATCTGAATCTGAGCATTTGTGGGTCATAAATGAGGCCAGTATACAAGATGGCCTCATTCTGATGCTTGACTCTTAGTGATTATAACATTTCTAAATGCTATGAAATAATGAAACAGATTGGATCCTTTTGTGGGTTAGTATCTTTTCAATGTGAAAATTCACAAGCCAAGGTCATATAGGACAAGTGTGGATTGTGGAAAGACACAATCCAGGCAACTACTCTGACCCCACTGATTCCAGTAAGCATCCCAAGAATTAGTCCTCATCCGTTCTTAGTAGCCAATCTATTTACAGATATTATTCCTGTGTTCCGTCATAAAATTCAGAAAGTACATTCTATCCTACCTTTTGGACCTGTTTCTGATTGAAGTGGCAGTAACTTTGTTCTCAGTGTGGTTGAGATTGATAATCTGAGGGCTTTATGGATGCTAGGTAAGTGCTCTGCTGCTAAGCCGCATCCCTCGCTGGCTCTTAACAGATTTCTCAGTTACTGTAATGTGGGTTAGCTGAGAGTTTAACAACTCCCTCTTAGCTTCAGTGGTCTCTCCTTTTACATTTTACTAAAAGTACTCAAGAGGAATCAGGTTGTTCCTTTTGAATTACAGCTGTCACATAAATTTCCAGTTTTATCACAATTTCTAGCTTCACACAAATTACAAGAATAACAGTTCTGCATTACATATGTAATGTCCGTTTTTTACCATTACACATTACTGATTGGTTTTTCTTCATGTTCCAGTAACATGTTTCTCCTTCCTAAGGGAGTCCTCACCAGAATAACCTGTACCTATCCCTCAGTTTTTAAGCTACTTGTATCTGTTTTAAGTGTGTTTTACTGCAATGCCTCAGTATCATAAAACACCATAGCCAGCACTGGCAAAATGGCTCAGAAGGTAAATGAGCTTTACCTGGTTTAAATGAAATCAGGAACTGAGTTCGATCCCAGGACCCTGTCTTGTGAAAGGAGAGAGTGAGCTGCCGCTTTGTCCTCTGCTTGTACATGCATGCCACGGCTTTCACACACACCACACAGGACAGCAGAAACCGAGGTCTGCACATTCACTCTAAAGGAGTGGTATGGGGTCCGCATGACGTATATCTGTATTACTGTATGTTCTCATTAGCTCACCACCTTCTGGATAAAATTTTAGGGCTGTGGATTTAGCTCAGTGGTAAAAAGTCCTTGCCTAGCATATGCAAAGCTAGTTTTTATCTCCAGCCCTGGACAGATAATGTACAGCAAATTATTTCCTCATACAAGAAGAGCATGGGCGCTAGTGCAATGGTTCAGAGGGAAAAGCTCTTGCCATGCAAACGTGAGGACCAGAATTTGGATCCTGTAACTCCAATGCTTGGGAAACAAGATGGGAATGGACTCATCAGGTGATTTAGGTAACTAGGTTACTTGAATCCATGAGCTTCAGTGCAGCAAGAGACCCTGCTTCAATAAATAAAATGGGAAGTGATTGGGGACACCTGATAGTATCTTTTGGCTTTCACATGCCACATGCACATGTGTAAACACACCAGCATGCACATACACACACATTAAAAAAAATAACAGCATGCTTGACTCTGGTGCAGACTCGTCCTGGCATGCGATCACTTTTACATGACAAAGCCTGAGATGAGGCTTTTTTCCTCTTCTGATAAGATTGCAGCCTTGTTGGGTGAGGTTTCCACTTACTACCCTCGACTATCAAATGAAATTCTAAAGACCCTACCTGGACAATCATGTGCGGTGTATATTTAACCAGAATTTGAGAGGGTCAACAGTACATATAGATTCTTTTGATTTACCAGATAGGTAGTCATATCTGTAGATAATAATGGTATTTTTTTCTATTTTAGTTGTTTTTTTTTTTTACAGAAATGAGTATGATGTCCAGGACACTAGTGAAAGTAGTAAAAGCATATTTTTCTGTAGAATTATAATGATATATGCTCTCCATTATACTGATTTGCTTATTAGATAGAAGGGTGTTTTTAATATCTGAATTTTGCATAATGATTTTATAGTATTTCTTTATTTGTGAAGTAAAATTCCTCTTGGATTCATGAATTGCTTTTCCCATGTCCTCTGATGACCATACTCATTTGCTGGTAAGAGTAAAGTACCTAGGATTTCCTTGGTTCATAATGCCTAATAAATACTGGAATGAGTAAAAAGGACTCTAAAATAAAGGCAGTCATTTATTAATAGTGATGATATATTAGTTGTTTTATATTAACCTTAAATTCCTAGATATATCCAACTTGGACATAAGGATCATTTTTGTTTTGTGTGATTGCTGGGGACTCAAACAAACCCAGGACTAGCAAGCACTCTGCCACTGAGCTACAATTTAAGCCATTTACTCACATAAAGATTATCATAGCTGTCCTTGAGTAACATTGCATAGAAGTCCTCCTTGTGCAAGAAGAAATGGAATATGGAACAGTAGAGTGCCTGTTTAGCAGTGTTCAAGTCCTCAGCACCACCAAAACAAACTTTACAATTAACTGCCTGGTTTTAGCTGTAGATTAGAACAGTGTCACATACGACAGTGAAGTGTATTCCTCACTTTTCTAAATCCCCAATTTGTTGAGTGCTCCTGAGCTAGAATAATTGATACTTTTGGGTACCTGTATTCTGTCTTCTTAAATTGTTCGGAATCTTTTATGTTTATAGGACACCTAATATTTACAATATTATTTAAAATTTTTTTGAGTATATTTTTCTTAGGTATGCTTTCATTTTGACATATGAAACAAAAATTTATTTTTTCTTGTATTCCTAATATTTCCTGGTTGTATAACTAATTTTACTTTGAGTCTATCTTCATTCTGCAGTGATTTCTTGTATTTACATTGAGTTAACCTTGAAAGTATCCAGTATTCTTTTGGACTGTATCTGTCTCAAGCAGAGTGTGTTGACACACACTGTAATCTTAAGGATTGGAAGCCAAGGCAGGAGGATCACAGATTTAAGGGTAGCTTGAGCCTAGGCTACTTTGTGAAACACTGTTTTAAAAATACAAAAGCCTGATTAAAATAGAAAAAACAAAACCAAATGCAACCAGAGGTGGAGTTGGGGGCCTGATAAATAATTTGGGAGGGCAAAATTGTCTTGAAATATTTAAACTTTCTGATTTAGGTTTATTCCATTGACTCTGGTAGGTATTTACATGGCTATATATAAGCTTTCTTTTTGTATCCTTAGTTACAAAAATTTGGGGGGGGGTGCTAAGATTCAAACTTAGGGCTTTGCACATGCTAACCACTGACTTATATCCCAGTTGTAGATGTCTTTTATACATACTTTAGTTGAAGTTTAAAACTCTGAATACTTGAAAAATCCAGATTAACAATTCTTTTTAGACCATTATGTATAATGCAATTAGTAACAAATTGGAATTTAAGCAACTTGTTTTTCTTCTGTATTTGTTGCATGTACCTTCTCTTTGTAATGATGTTTTCATTGAAATTTTACCCAGTGCTTGAAATTTATGTACTCCATTTGCTTTTAGTTGCTATTCTAAAACATTAAATTCAGTTTTAAAATAAAATCTGTTAATATTGTTTCTTTCTAACTGAGTTTGCATACAGCCAACTTTATCTTCCTGAGCATCACAGCTGCAGAGACCTACACTGCCATAGAAGAAAGTCAAAGTAACAGAATTGATGTTATAGAGGATTTATTAGTAATAGATTTGCAAAAGGTGAATTTAGCTAAGGAAGTACTGCTGCCCCCCCTCCCTGAAATACCCCAAGTATGTTACTCAAGCCTGCTAGATAAATGCAAATTCGCAATGCTTGTATGTAAATGTTTGTTCACCAGGACTGTCTGAGTCAGCCCTTAGTCCATCTCCAAAAATCATACCTTTAACAGGCAGGTGCAGGGGGCAGCACAGGGTCACAACAGATAACAGCTATAAGTTCTGTTCTTGAGAAAAGCATAATTCTGCCAGAAGGAAAAGTACAATACTGGCATGCTTCAATAATTTTGGCAATATTTTTGCTGTGTGAGTCTTCCCACCTGCTTAGGTGGCCAGACTTGCAGTCTCCGGTCTCTGTTTAAATGTTTGAAATGAAACCTGGGGCTGGGACCTAAAAGATTTAAGGATGACAGTGTATAAAATACCCTAAGGTGTACATAAATTAGTGAAATTGTCTACTTGATGCCAGCTCTTGCTTGGGCGATAGCCCCATTTGGCAGTGTGATTTAGTAAAGAGCTTTTACTTCAGTTTTAAGTATGCAGTGGTTTCTTGTGGGGAAATCATATTGGCATATTGTTTCTGTGGCAACACAAGCCCCTGACTGAACAAATCCATGGTGGGGACTGGGGGGGGGCACACAAAATGGGTCTCTTGACAAAAGGCCCATTACATCCTGTGAGAGATCACAACCATAAATCTTTTGAAGTTCATCAGAAGGTGGAATAATCTTTCTTTTTATGACTCACTTAAACCAATAGAAGTCAATAAAATTCAGTTCTAAAGGTCCCTCAGTAGACTTCTAACTTTGCAGTTCTCAGCTACTGAACTGTGGGGTTGAGAAATAAACTGGCTCTTCATGTCTCAAGGGAGCATCAGTATTCCACAGTGTAGAATCCTCTGGATGACGGTATTCACTGAGATGACAAGGTTTGAGTTCATCTTAGGCACCCAGGGCATTTATCAGAACCGGGAATTAAGAAAACAGTTGCTGGGAAAGATTCAGATAGGGTTAGGAGAGTGCTAAAACCCCAGTAGGTTTCCCACTCAAAAACCTCTAGCATCTCAAATTCCTCCCAGGGGTTCCCGAACCTGGTGGAATGGGGTGACGTAGGGTCGATCTGTAGGTTGCAACCTACCAAAAGCAATTTCAACACATTGAGAGGTGCAGATAATGGCAGAAGCGACACTGTCTTCTGTTCCTACTCAAATGAGCTCTGGAAAGCAAAGGTTTTAACGCGAGGGAGGCAGGCAGAAAGTTTCTGATGAGCTTTCTTTGGGCGGGGTCTGCACAGGAAAGCCTGTGGTGGAAGCGCTTACATTACAGGGCCAGGGTGCCACAGATGACTTCCGCTCCGGTCCACAGCCTAGGTTCTAATTCTATATTGTCCACGAGGCCACCACTGGCCTCCAGTTCCCGCTGTGAAGCCACTACAGCACCTCCGCCCTAACTGCAAAGAAACCAGAAATCGTACAACAAAGTAGGATCCGAGCTCAGCCTTTGCAGCAAACGATGCGCGAACGGAAGTGACGTAATTCCGCACCCTCTCTTCCGGTGGCTCTCTGCCCTGAGTTGTTCCCTGGAGAGCTGTGGCCTTTGTGAGTTCCGCAGGACAGGGACTCCCTGCAGGTTGATGGGGAGATTAGGCCAGGGTGCTGAGCTCTGCTCTACCCGCCTCGGCGCCTCCGGACGTGGCCAAGTCTGAGGCCTCTCGGGCTGTCGGTTCCCCGGGGTGGGAAAGACCGCAAAGGGCGCGTCCTGGCTGTGTCCGCAGCTCCCGCTTTTCAAAAGCCGCCAGAGCAACTTTTATGGAAAAAAAAAAAAAGCTGGTTGTTTTGTTTTTGTTTGTTTTCTCAGAAGGGAACGAATTTTCGCTGGAGTAGTTGGAGTGACCAGCGTCATAAACGTTGTGATTTCAGCGCCTTTGGTGAGCACTTAGTGAAAGACGCCTTTTGGAAAAGGCCGTATTCCTTTAAAGAAAAAAAATTAGAAACGAATTTCTCGGGTGAGAACTTGACTCCTATTGTTGGTCTCTCGTGTGTGTGTGTGTGTGTGTGTGTGTGTGTGTGTGTTTTATTTTGCCCATTAGCTTCAGATAGACATACTTTTTAGTTATTTAGAATATACTTCTTGTGAGTAAACGTTGGTAGACCTCAGGTCCACTTAAGAAAACCCGGTGTCTGTGCATGCCTTAAATCTAAGGATGCAAGAGGGGTTCTAAGAATTCCAGGCTGGCCTGTTGTATATAGAGAGTTCCAGTCTGACCTGTGCTACATAGTGAAACATTGTTTCAAAAAACAAGCAGAAATCCAACAAGCAACAATAGTGAGCTGTTCTGTTCATCTAAAGTTCTAGAACTGTGTTTGTTTCTCCATCCCTTTTACACCTTTGCTCTGGTGATTAGATCCAGGGCCTTGTGCATGCTACACAATTTTTTTCTTGGTTCTTAGGCCTGTTCAGCACCAAACTGCTTAAAAATGTGGACCTCACAGAAGAAGTGTGGAAAAGCTTTATGAAAAGTTGTAGAATTAACTGTTAAGATTGATAAATTAGTGTTTTATTTCTTATAACACGTCCCCCCCCCAATTTCTCTTTTAAAGAAAAATCTTAAATGTACTTGCATGTTTGATGATCCAGACGTGTTGTGGTGCATCCACCTCTTTGCAGAAGTTTGTTTGCACGTTCTTCTAATAGATAAATATATTGTATGATGATTTGTTTGCTAAGACGTAAACTGAAAATAAAGGGGGATGTGGCAGGGTTGTGGTGGCACACACCTTTAATCCCAGCTCTTGGGAGGCAGAGGATCTCTGTGAGTTCCAGAACAGCTAGGGCTACAGAGAAACCCTGTCTTGAAAAACAAAACACAATTACTAGATTTTGATCAAGAAAAGCTAAAGAACAGTTGGGTATGCAGCTGGTAGAGTTTTGCTCATTATGTACAAATCCCTAGGTTGACTCTCTAATACCACACATAAACTGTGTGTAGTAGCCCTGTAATTCCACACTTAATCCATAGAAGCAGGAGGATTAGGAGTTCACGGTCGTCCTTAGTCATATTGTAAGTTGTTAAGCCAACCCGAATCACGTAAGATCTTGTCTCTAAAAAAGAAAAGAAGAAAGTTAAAAACCGGTTGGGAATATAGCTCAGTGGTAGAACACTTGCCTAGCATGTGTAGCCTTCGGCTCAGTTCCCAGCACCACAAAAAATAACTGAAAATCTATCTGATCTATAAACATCTGATCTATAAACATTCGAAATTCTCCACATTGTTTAAACAACAATGAGAAGAAGAAGCTTCTGGGTGTTTGGAGGTGTATGATCTCTTCATGATTTCTATGTTGTGCTGGACTTGGTGGCAGACACCTGCAGTCCCAACAATTGAAAGGTAGAGGCAAGAAGGAGTGTCACTGCAAGTTTGAGGTCCCGCTGAGCTACATACCAAAACCTTGTGTCAAAAAATAAAACCAAAAGATGTCTATATTATACTTGTTTATAAGCCATAACGATTTCCAAGCAAGCTGTCTGCAGTAGCAGGCAAGCTGCCGTACATGGTGAGCAGCTAGACACAGCATTCTGCTTTTCTAAACTTTGAGGCATGGAGTTCAGGCTAAGTCTTAAGCTTATTATTGGCTTTGGTTGGCTTTGAATTTACACTCCTACCACTCACCATCCCCAGGCGCTGGGTTCGTAGTCACATCTTGCTTCCGGTAAGTTCGGGTACTACAGCTTTCCATTGCCAACTCCAAGATTTCAAAAGATGTGTGGAAGATAATTTGTAGATGCTCCATACTTGGATTGTATTTTATTAGGGAGGCATCCATTTCTTGTGGTCCTAACTTTGGTGCTTGCTACAGACACTGACCATCACAGCACCTGGCTTGTTGGCAGTGCTGGCAGTTGGAGCCAGGAACTTGGGTTTGCTAGGCAAGCACGCTGCACCAAGCCACACCCCAACACTTGGCTTTACAGATGTTTTTCCTTATAGTTTAACAAGAGGAATGTCTTGTGCCCCAGCTCTCACCCCACTTAGTTTTTTTTAACATCATTAGTTAAGTGCAGTAAATACTTGTCCCTGCCCTTTTTCTTTTAATTTTAGAAACGTATTGTTTTATTAGTATGTGTGCATGCTAATACCTCAGTGATGGTGACATGGTTGTTGTCAGAGGACAACTTTGTGGAGTTGATTCTTTCCTCTTATGTGGGTTCTGGTGACTCAGTTCAGAAAGACAGGCATATGCTGCAAGTGCCTTTAGCCAGTTTGCCAGCCTTCTTATGCCCCCTTTCCTGTTTTTATGGAGGTGTATTGTCACTCAGGTCAGGAGACATGTACATTTTATTTTGACATACATTAATTTTTCCCCTTTTCCCAGGTCTTTTACCTATATAGCAGTTTCTGAATCAATCTGTCTTAAACTTCATTTAAAACTTATTCTGGGAAAAGAAGAAACAGAATTTTAGTTTAAGTACAAGACATTTGTTTTGACAAGGGAAGTCCCTTGGCCATTTCAAGTGAATAAGAGCACTTGGCTGTACTCTGAGAAGCTGTGTTTGCCCTGGTGGCCTGTAATTCAGTGCTTGGGGACCTGAGGCAAACAAACAAAACCATGGAGTGTTATAGATCTGCACTACTAGGACCGGGGAAACTGAGGCAGGAAGTCACAAGTTGGAGGCATTCCATAGTGAGAGTCTGTGTTGAATCTCTGTTGTTTCTGGTGTCATTTAACGTTTGCTTTGCAGTCTTGTTCTGGTGAATCATTCTTTCTCTGCCCCTTCCCTCCAGTTCCCTCCTGTCTCCTTTCCCAAGCAGCATTTTTGCTGGCTAGGAACTCAACTGAGTAAAATAAAGGGGTTTTTAAACATTAAGTTTTAGCTTTTTTTTTTTTTTTTAATTTTTCTTATTTGATCTTGCTGTGTTTTGTAGGCCAGCCTTATCCTCCTTCCTCCTGCCTCAGGCTCCTGAGTATTGTAAGTACAGGTATGTCCACCTTGAGTTAATGATTTCAAAGTGAGTCCCATTCAAGAGCTTATAATAACAATGTAATTTAGTAGATTATGTGACTACATCAGTCTTTACATTTTCATTTACGGTTGTTGAGATAGATTCCTGCTGTGTAGCCCTAGATGGCCCTGAGCTCACTATGTAATCCATGTTTTCTCTTGTTCCTGCCTCATGACTACTGAGATTTATATAATCCTATGTCTGTGTTTTAATGTGAACAATATAAAGTGAATATATGATAAATTTTATCATGTGTAAGTAAAGTAATAAAACAGTTTCTATATTGTGATCTAATTTAAAATTCAAAATTTATACAATTTATTTCCATAGGTCAGATAGATACATAGATAGTACCTTGCAGTGGATTACTACAGCCTCAGTTATGGTTCTATAATCAAAGCCCCCATATACAATATTGAATATTGCTCTAATTTTATCCAATCAACAACTTGTAAACATATTTTACTTATATATTGGCTAATGTTTTCCTTTTCGTGACTATTTCTTTTTATTTAATTTATTTTTGTTTGTGACATGGGTGTGTGGATGGAGGTCAGAGGAGAGCTGTGTAAGGTTGGTTCTCTCCCTGTCCTTCCCCTTGATGTGGGTTCTAGGGATGGCGTGGCAAGCCCTGTACTCACTGAACCATCCCACCAGCCCCTCTGTCTATTTCAAGAGCTTGTTAGCGCTAGTGTGCCTCACTCTTCCAGTGTGAACACAGTATACCTTCACGGACGCCTTTGAGGCGCCGCAGCAACTTTGTCGTCACACATAGGTAGTCCATTCAGACAACATCTTAACTGCATACACTTTCCTAGGTTGGGTATGACATTGGTAGTACCTTTCAGGATTTCATTTGGCACGCTTGGCTTTTGCATTTATTTTATTTGTGTGTGTGTGTGTGTGTGTGTGTGTATGTTTGTGTAGGGGTGCTTGTGTGTGTGTGTGTGTGTGTGTGTGTGTGTGTGTAGGGGTGCTTGTGCTCATATAGAAGTGCCACAGCATTTTTGGAAATTGACTGTTAAAAGTCTCTGGGTTACAGGGTTAGAACTCAGCTTTTCACTGAACCATTTCACTGGCCCTGGCACACTGTTAGTTACACACACACACTGGCCCTGGCACACTGTTAGTTACACACACATAAAGTGCAACATCTTTTACTCACTCCTCCTTTCCTCTTATTTTTAATTACAGTTATTGGAGGGGTGTTGAGATCAGGGGGCAGCTTGTGAGAGTTGGTTCTCTCCTTCACCCTGTGGGCCTGTGAGGATTGACAGTGGGCACCTTTTTCTACTGATCCACCTTGCTGGCCATGCTGTGTTAGTTCTGGTGGGAATACATCCTTTATTTTAAAATTTTATTGATAAATTGAAACTAACAGCTAATCCTGTTAGTGCCCTCGATACTTCTTCACTGTAGAGGTTTTATCAGTATTTCTCCTGCCTTGTGGATTATCTGTCCCAAATAACCTTTTGTTGCCTTACTCTTCTGATAGAAGAAACTGACTTTCTCAGCTTTGGGTCATACATTAAGACAACAAATGACATACCTGCCAGGCTGTCTAAGAACAGGTTATCACAAATGCTGAGTCTTTGATTTCCATACCCAGCTGTCCAGGTTGTGGATATTAAGGCTCCAGCTGGTGTTGAATCAAATCTGGGCTCTCTTGTAAATTATAGCTGTGGAAACAATGGCTCCCAGTACTCAGGTGGAGGTCTCTCAGACTCCAAGGCTTTCCAAGGAGCAGCTGGGGTTTGATGTGTGCATAGCAACGAGGGTTTGTGTGCTGTAAGGAGAATACTGCTGCATTATGATGTCGTGCAGCTCAGTATGATCCTGCTGCTTAATAAGGCTCAGTGCAGGAGCTAGCACCCCTGCTCAAACTGTCGAGTGCATTGTTGGCCTTCGCATTAAATGCTGTGTCAGCCAGCTATCCTGTTCTTACGTGTAAACTGTGGAGCAATTGTTAAGCATATTCCCCTTTGTTAGCTATACTATCATACTCAGTTTTGTTTTGAGACACAACTCGGGCTGGCCTTGAACTCCCTGTGTCGCTGAGGATGACTCGTGGACTTTTTGTTTCTACCTCCTAAGTGCTGGGAGTCCACATCTGTGTCTATGCTTTACTCACATTACTACATCCTGTGAGTACATTTCCCGCTTTATAATAGCATCTTTGGTCTCAACTGGGGCCCCCAGTAAGCAGCACATATATTTCTCTTTGCTCATTTTCCCATGTTTTCCATAATGTAACCAAAACCCAGTGTATATAGTAGTCTCGTGAGTTCTTTTCTCAATGGGTGCCTCCCTCCATCATCTGTGGGTTACTGAGGAAAATGAACAATATAATGGTTCCTTATCTATAGGAGAGACTTTCTTTTTTAATAAATGTGTTTTAAAATCATTTAACTATTTGTGTATTTTGTGAATATATACATGTGTATTTTTATGTGTTTAGATGCATACATGGAACTCAGAGGTCAACATTTTTATCTTCTGCCTTCTTGAGATAGGGCTTCTCATTAAAACTGTAGCTCATCATTTCAGCTAGACTATCTGGCTAACAAGTTTCTGTCCTATACCCCCCAGCACTGGGGTTGCAGACGTGTGCCAACCTATTGGGTTTCACATGGGTGCCAGGGTTCACACTCAGTGTCCTCATGCTTACACAGCAAGTGTTTTGCTCACCGAGCCTTTCCCCAGGTCCCATGAGTGATACTTTCTAAGAATGTCTGTAGCGACCTCAAACTATAAAGGGTATAGAACTCTGTGTGTATCATTCTCTGTGATTAATTTATAAATTCGGTACAATAACAGATGAACAGAAATAACTAAGAAATTGAATAATTTCAACAATATACTATAATAAAAGTTAAGTAAATATGGTTTCTCTCAATATTTTATTGTCTCATCTTTTTCAGACTGATTGATTATGAATAACATACTACCATGTAAATTTGGAAGCAATTAATATATTTAGTTCTGTGTTACAGGATGTATCATAAATAAAAGCCTCAAGTATTTACACCAATTCAACATCTTTTTTTTAATATTTATTTATTTATTACGTATACAATATTCTGTCCGTGTGTATCCCTGCAGGCCAGAAGAGGGCACCAGACACCATTACAGATGGTTGTGAGCCACCATGTGGTTGCTGGGAATTGAACTCAGGACCTTTGGAAGAGCAGGCAATGCTCTTAACCTCTGAGCCATCTCTCCAGCCCCCAATTCAACATCTTTTGTCAAAATCAAGCCATAGATTCCAGCTAACACCTTATAGTAAATACTGTTTGGGAATTCCTCAGTGGCAACATGAAATCTGGCCTGTCATACAACGTGCCCGTGCTGCTGTTTTCATTTCTTTCCCTTGAGAGTCCAATATGAATATGGTGTCTATTGATCTTATTCGCTCCTCCCCAGCTTCTCCAGGTCAGTTCCCATCTCCCTTCCCACCCAGCTTTTCTGTTTCTGCTTCTTCCTCCTCTTCATCTCTCATCTTGTCCGATTTGTGTAGCCCGAATACTCCATCCACTGAATTGTGGACAGCCTACAAGAGGTCACACTTTTATACCCACAGCTGATTCCTACTGTAAGCTGCCATTCATCCTCTGCTGGGTGTTAGACGTCACGCCACCTTTCCGCTATGTGCTGGGATTTTGTCTGGCTTGAGCTTGCAGAGGTCTTGCTCATGTTACACAACCACTGTGAGTTCATTTGTGCAAGTGCCCTGGTGTGTCTGGAAAACACTTTCATTATAGTCATTGTGGCCTTTCTACTCTCTCTCGATTCCTGAACCTTGAGGGAAAGGGTGTCATATAGATGCCTCACCAAGGGCTAAGCACTCCACAGCTTCTTAGTCTCTGCAACATGACCAGTTGAAGATCTCTGTGTTGATTGCGTCTACTGCAAGAAGTGTCTCTGATGAAGATTCAGAGACGCACTAACTGTGGGTATGGTGATAAGTCATGGGTTTATTCATTTATGTCTATTTAGTACAGTGATAGTGGTAGGTTTCCTCCTAGGGTCTGTGGCCTATTAACCACAGGTTCTTGCCTCTGATAATGGGTATGGGTTCCATCTTGTGCAGATGGTCTTAAATCCAACCAGAAAGTGTTTGGTTACTTCCATACATTTGTTCCACTAGTGGCTGCATCAGTGGGCATATCATGCCAGGGTGGTCATTATTGTAGCTTTGCAGATTTCACAGCTGGATAAGATCGGTCATTCCGGGACTGGAGAGATGACTCAGTGGTTAAACGCACTAGCTCTTCTTCCAGATCACCCGGGTTCAATTCCCGGCACCCACACGGCAGGTTACACCTATCTGTAATTCCAGATCCAGGGCGTTTGACATGATATCCTCACACAGACATACATACAGGCAAAATACTAATGAACATAATATAAAAATAAATTACATATTAAAAAAAATTGGCGATTCCTCCTTTTCCCCAGTAGCAAGCCTAGCAGCAATATAAAAACCAGTCAGTAGGGATGAAGTTTCCAGGTTAAGAGAAGTTTGCTTTCTTCATGTTCTGTGACTCAAGTATGTGGTGTCTTCAGCAGTAGGGTCTTATTCTCCAGTTCTGAAGGGTAACCAAGAGCAATGGCAATAGTCTAATGTTTGGAGGTCTGTGCAGCACCACCCGAAGAGGTAATCCATTCTTGGCACTGAGTTTTTTGTTAGACTGTGGTATATCCAGTAGGGACATTGTTGCCTGGTTACAGGGTAATTCTATTTAAACTCTTTTTATGTAAGTATATATTTTAGGAAGGTAGGCATCTATATAATGCTTTTAGAAGACTTTTAATGTCTTTCTCCATACTCCCTCTTCTACTCTGCCATCCCATCCCTACCTCATTTAACCTTTGTGATGTGCCAGTTAACTTAATTGTAAACTTGTCCACCTGGAATCACTTGGAAAGAGAGTCTCAGTAAGGAACTGTGTAAATCAGATTGGTGTAGGGCATTGTCTTGATTGTTAATTCCTATAGGGAGTCCCAGCCCTTTAAGGGTGCTACCAGTCCCTGGTTTGGAGCTCTGAACTGTATAAGACAGAAGAGCAAGCAAGCAAGCAAGGATTCATTCACTTCTCTGCTCTTGCTCGTCAGTGTGAAGTGAATAGCTGCTTGAATTCATGCCTAGATTCCCCCTTGGTGACAGACTATAGTCTCTAATTGTAAGCCAGATAAACCCATCATCCTGAACATTGCTTTTGGTAAGATTGTTTAGTTCAGGGCCTGCGGGAGGCTCAGTGCACAAAAGCACTTGTCATCCAAGACTTGGAACCTGAATTTGGTCCCTGGAACCCACAGTAGTGGAGGAGAGAACCAGCTCCTGGAAGTTGTCCTCTGACCTCCCATGTGCGTGCCTATACATGCACACACAATAAAAAATATTTAAGTCTCTAGTGTTTATTGAATGATTATTCATAGATGGGATTTTTGATGGCCACAATGGAAGGAGAGAGAGTGCCATTCCAGCTGCATCCTGCCATCTGCATGTTTGTTATTGGGCACAAACAAGGATGCTCCAAAATTTTGTTTTAGTAGCTAATGTTTCCAACACTTAATCTTGACCAAATCACCACAGGTATATAATTCTACCACTACAGAAACTGAGAAGAGAGTAGAAAGTTCAAGACCATCCTGGGCTATCAAGATTGAGAACATGTTGGTCTTAGATGGAGGTGCCTGGTTTATTTCTTTGGATGTTGATGGCGAAATGGAGTGTCTGGTTATGGACTGGGTTCCAAACCCTGTCGTGTGTCTATTGGTACTTTTTCTAGTTATATGGAATTCATTTTGCCTTTTGTTGTTCGTTTTTCAAGGTTGGCTTTAATCTTACAGTATAGCCAGGAATGACCTTGAACCAGGCCTCTTGCCTCTCCCCTCAAATAGTAGGAATCTAGATGTACTTTGTCATACATGACTCTCCAGTTAGATTTATAAACCCGTGGGAGCTAAATTAGTCTGTTCTGCTCATCTTTTATATCTGCATAACCCAGGCGACGAGTGCTAGCTTCCCAGTGCTGCTTAAAGTACCGAGCTGTGGTGCTGGAATGATGACTCCGCAGTACTTGCTGTTCTCCCGGAGGATCCACGCCAGGGTGTCAATAATTTTTTTTAAGATTTATTTATTATGTATATAGTGTGTGTATACCTGCAGGTCAGAAGAGGGCACAAGATCTCATTATAGATGGTTGTGAGCCACAACCATGTGGTTGCTGGGAATTGAACTCAGGACTTTTGGAAGAGCAGGCAATGCTCTTAACCACTGAACCATCTCTCCAACCCAACCATCAGTAATTCTAGTTTCAAGGTACACCTTTTTGGCCTCCACAGGCACTGGACACATGTGGTGTGTGTGCTCTTTTGTGCACATGTGCGATGGTGCGCGAGCACACACACCACACAAATTGAGTTACGGGGAATAAAGGTGCATCTATAATCCTGGCACCTGGGATGATCAAAAAAAGAAGACCAGTAAGGTGGCTCAATGGTAAAGGTGCTTGGTGCCAAACCTGACCTCCTGAGCTCAATCCTTGGGAGCCACATGGTGGAAGGAGAGAACCAACTCCCCAAAATCGTTCTCTGATCTCTGCATGGGTGCCATGGACCCCATACCCACACATATAAACAGTAGTAGTAATAACTTTAAAAAAGGGTAGTGAGATGGCTCAGTGGGTAAAACTTATGGGTAAAAATTGCTGTGTGAACTTGATCTTAATTTAATCCCTTGAACCCACAGTTGGAAGAGAATCAGCTTCCCAAATTTGTTTGCTTACCTTCTGTATACCATGGCACATGTCCCTGCACACAGGCGTGTGTGCGTGAGAGTGTACACACACACAATAGTAATATAGAGGACCATTGAGATGGCTCAGCAACTGAAGGTGCCTGCTCCCAAGTCTCGACAGGCCGAGTTCAAACTCTGTTTCTGAATGTTGCCCTCTACCTCCACATGTTCAGTCATAACCAATTCCCACAACACACAATAATAAATAATACTATTATTATTGCACTTTTAGACCAAAACCCACTAACAGTTCATGTTGTGGGGGTGCTAGAAAGATGGCTCAGCAGTTAAGAGCACTTACTGCTCTTGCAGAGGACCAGTGTTTTGTTCCCAGCACCCACGTGGTGGTTTGTAACCCTCTGTAACTCCAGTTCAAGGGGAATCCAATACTTGGAGTTTTCTAACTTGGGTACCAGCCATACACATAGTGCACATACATACATACATGCAAACAACTCTCAAGATACATTTGGAAAAAAAACTTATTAAAAAAGAATTCATAGCTGGGTGGTGGCATATGCCTTTAATCCCAGCACTCAGGAGCAGAGGCAGGTGATCTCTGAATTCAAGGCCAGCCTGGTCTACAGAGCAAGTTCTAGGATAACCAGGGCTACACAGAGAAACCCTATCTTGAAGAACCAAAAACAAAACAAAACAAAAATATAAACAAAAACAAAAACAAACAGCAAAGCAAAACTCACATTGGACGCTGGTGTGTGCAGCCAAGTCAAGCTGTGCTGTGGTTAGTGCACAAACAAGGTATCGTTCTCACCCTCCCATTCTTAATATATTTCCTGGAAACTTAAATTTATATTGTGTTATGAAAATCATTTAATTAAATCTAGTTAGTACTTAGTTGTACAATTTCAGAAGGATCTCTAATTGCCCTGGTGGGAATAAAGGTATTCTAAAGAGAAACTGGTGACTACCCCCCCCCTTTTTTTTTTAAATAGACTTTCAAAAGCATATACTCACTTCAGTTTTTATTTCTGAAAGATTTTTATGTTGGGAGAAGGAACAGGCTAGGAGCCAGTGTGGGTGGATAGGGTGGGGCCGGAGAGGGGGTTGTATCCTGGAAAGAGGTCAGATCGTATCGCAGCAGGGACAGAAGCCTGAGCTACCGTGACGAGGGGAACTGCACACTTAGCAGAACTGCTTGGCTGTGCATGTCTCTTGCCCTCGATTTAAATCTGAAGTTCATGTTAGGATCTTAGACACAGGCTTGGAGGTACAAAACACTGGAGCTTTTTGTTTTGCTGATGGTACAGTCACCTTTTTGGTATATATAAAAATTGTTTTTGAGACAGGGTCTCTAACCACTGTGTAGCTCAGGCTGGCATGGAACTTATTATGCAGACCAGCCTGGCCTGTAACTCACACAGCTCTACCTGCCTCTGCCTCATGAGTACTGAGATTATGATTTTTTATCTTTATTTTATGTGCATTGGTGTGAAGGTGTCAGATCACCTGGAACTGGATTTTTAGACAGTTGTGAGCTGCCATGTGGGTGCTGGGAATTGAACCTGGGTCCTCTGGAAGGGCAGTTAGTGCTCTTAACCGCTGAGCCATTTCTCCAGACGCCATGAGTACTGAAATTAAAGGTGTACACAACTATACCCAGCTTATAAGCATTTTTAGAGGTGGTATGAGGTTTTGCTTTTCATGAAATACTAAGGTTTAAAATGTGTACCTAACCCATAATCATACAAAATGTACATAGCACATTTTTCAAGGCAAGTTCTTAATTCCAGAAGATAATATTAATATATTTTCCAGGGTGTTTTTTTAAAAGATTAATTCATTTTTATGTGCATTGGTGTTTTGCTGCTTGTATGTCTACATGAGGGTACCAGATCCCCTGGAACTGGAGTTACAGACAGTGTGAACTGCCATGTGGGTGCTGGGAATTGAACCTGGGTCCTCTATGAGAACCATCTCTCCAGCCCCCGGGTGTTTTCTTAAATAGAAGATAGTTCAAATATGATGAGAGCAGGGAGCTCTAGGCATGGGGGTAGAAGTATTTACCAGGTGAAAATTGACACAAAGTCTTAATGAAGAGTGTATGTTCTGGGGCCAGAGATGACTCCGCGGGGTGATAACCTGAATGTGGTCCTATGACATGGTGGTGGAAGGTGAGAACAACCCCAGAGAGTTGGCCTCTGACCTATACATACATACACACACATGCACATTGGTGCACATGCACACACAAACACACACTACTACTATGCATTGTTGACAAACACGGCATAGAAATTCTCAGGCACTTGCTGCCTCTGAGAGAGAATGGGTAGTTTCTGTAGCAGCTTAGAGACATTAACCTAACTTATATCCTGGGCCATTTGTTTGGGGTCATTGAGATAAAAGGTGACACCAGCATCCTGCTAGATAGTAAGCTTTATAAACACCATTTGTCCTTTCTAAGATTGGTGCAAGAAAACCCATTTTTAATAAAAAGGGAAGAAGAGATTGGCCATTTGGGGTGAGATGCCACAGTTAAGCTAAGAGTTACGCTTTTGTTAAATAACAGGGCATCACAGGGCACTGGAGCAAGAGAAAGGAATTTCTGGCTTTTTTGCCTCCGCAGTCAACATTTGGAGAAGACCAACAGCTTGTCCCATTTTCACTGCGTATTATTATATCTGGTAGACAAAAGAAAACAAATGCTTGATTGGGAGCCAGGCATTGTGGTACAGACCTGTAACCCAAGTACTTGGCGGACTGAAGCCAGAAATCACAAATTCAAGAAGGAACTGGAAAGGGAAGACTGTGGGCTTTCTGTGGAGGTGCTTTTATCTTGTTTAGGAATGTGTTAGGACATAAGCCTTTATTAAAACCCCAGTGCATATTTAAGATGTGTACACTTGAACTGAAGAGTTGGCCCAGTGAGTGAGAACACTGTGTACAGCGCGAAAAACAGTTCAACCCCCAATATCCATGGCATAGTCATCTGTGTACCTGCAGGCCCAGTGGTGTGACAGGCAAAGGATTGCCGGGGCTCGCTGGCTACCAGTCAGCTGGGGGTCCAGTGAGAGATGCTGTCTCGGTGGAATGTGGTGGGAAGGGGTAGAACCGGACGTCCCATGTCCCCTAGGCTTTGTGCACACGACATATGCTTCCCCTCTTCCCACAAAGATGTGTTTGACTTAATTATATCTTAGAGTCAATATTTTAGTCTGATCTATGGATAGGGCCTGTGTAAGGTTTCTGTGAGTATATAATTTGATTTATCGATAATGAACTGTGTAACTATATAATTTGGACTGCTCTTTAGGGTTTGATTCATTGATGAGTGCCATTAAATTTTAACAAAAATGCTTTTTATATTTTTGGTTGCGAACCTAGGATTTAACGGCTGAGCCATCTCTCCAGTCCACAGAATTATTTTTAAGATACATCATGCTTAATGATGAAATAAAAGGAGGGCTGGGGATATAAATCATTTGGTATAGTGTCTAGCATGCACAAAACTCTGGGTTTGATCAGCATTGCCACATCCACTGGGCATGGTGGCACACATCTGTGTTAACCCTAGCACTTGAAAAATGGAGGCAAGGGGATTAGAAGTGCAAGACCAACCTTGGCTACATCGTGAGTTTGAGGTCAGCCTAGGACATGAGACCTTGTTTTATTTTTTGCTTTTTTGTTATGTTTTGTTTTTTAAAAACAACTTGGGAGGAAGAGACACGTGATCCCCAAGTTCAAGGCCAGCCTGGTCCATAGAACAAGTTCCAAGTTAGCCAGGGCCATACAGAAAACTGTCTCAGGGGAAAAAAAAAAAGAGGAAAAGGAGGAAGAGGAAGAAGAAGGAAGAAAAGTGTGAAAAGGAAATTAAAGCAAACTGGTGAAAAAATTAAACACTATGAAACACTATTCCTAAATGATAATAATAATGATAATAATAATAATAATAATTTTGTTTCAGGCAGGCAAACAGGAACCCTAAAACAAAAACTTAAAAGATGGTTCTCTGAAAAGACCCGTAAAAAAGGTGTTGAACAGATCTAATTTTGCTCTAGCCATCCCTGTGCTAGGGGGAGAAGGCTTGAGTTTCTTACCAAGACCTTGCTGAGGTTGCTTACTGCTTAAATTATGATTTGAGAGTCCCCCTGCCCAAATACCTTTACATTTAAGATGGAGATATAGCTCAGTTGTAGAACTCTTGTCTATCCTGCATGAATCTTCATCCTCCACACCTGTCAAACAGGATCAAATACCACCACCAAGATAAATCTACCTGAAAACAAAAGGATTATTTTGGGACCATAAAGATGGCTCAATTTTCAAGTACATTTGCTGTAGATCTGAGCACTTGTGTATCAAACTACGTTCAATTAACATCTGTAACTCCAGTCCTAAGGAGGATGGAGACAGGAGGACCACTGGAGCTGAGAAAACGTGAGCCCCTGGTTCAGGGAAACACCCCACCTTAAATGAATGGGCGGAGAAAGATGGGGTGGGGCATAGAAACCTTCCGGCCTCTGCATGTGCACATTTACAGAAGGCATACACACAAATAAGAAAATAACCATCTGCTTGTTGTACATATAGTTTTCCCACTTGTTGAAGATGAGAGCAAGTTTGCATAGCAATGAAAGAAACCTTTACCTGCCCCTAAGTCCTGCATCATCGTTTCTGAACCAGATGATAAATGAGCAATCGCAATGCTCTCTGAATATAGATCCTTTCCTGTTTTGTTATGTTTTAAATTTTCTGATTATTTTCTTTGTGTGTATGATGTGTGCTGTAGGGAGAAGGGTGCTTTCCACCTTTACATGGGTCGTGGAGATCAAACTCAAGCTGTGAAGCTCATTGTCTGGACACAAGTCCCTTACCTGCTTAGTCATTTTGCCAACTCCCTGTTATTTTGAGGCAAAGTTTAGATCCCTGCTAGCTTTGAACTCACAGCCATTTCCCTGGTGCAACCTCTCAAGGGCAGGCATGTTTGCAGGGTTTTCTGTTCCACCAGCCAGCTCTCAACCACACAGAGACTTGTTATTAATTGTAAATGCTCGGCTGATAGCTTAGCCTTGTTACTAACTAGCTTTTTCTACGCTCTATCACATGGTGGTGCTTTTTTTTTAGCACCGCATGTTCATCTCCTGCTTCCTCTGCATCTCGCTGGTGACTCTGCCCATCTTCATCCCCATTCTCTCTTTTTGTCCACAAGTCCTGCCTAACCTATGCCTGACTAGCTATTGGCCATTTAGTCCTTTATTAAATCAGTGAGAGTCCTTTATCAAACCAATGAGAGCAACGAATATCCAGTGTGCAGCACTGGCATTACAGGCTTTGAATATAGATCTTTTAAGGGCAGTTGTATTTACTGTGAAGGGTGATTATAACGATTAATTGAACACACGGACACACACACTCCTTGCACAGTTGCTACATAGCATTCCTCAGTAAATTGCAGCTAGTATCACTAGAATTGATGTTTCAGAGAGCACTGTGTGTAGTGGTCTTCCTATGTACTTCCTGCTATAGTTAATGTATAATTGATAGGTATTGTCTAAGTAACTGATGTTAATTAGTGATTGATACTGCAGAAACGCTGATGTTTGTGCACAACAGGCAATGGAGAGTGCCACTGTCCTCTGAAACCAGCTGCACTACAGTGACGGCAGCTCCAGTGAAAGGAATATCCAGACCCACTTCTGCGTTACAGGATGGCAGCCACTGACTTTTCCCACGGTAAGGCCCTAGGAATTGAAAACAGGTTGAAACCCACTTGCTGGCCCACAGGAATATTTGTGGCACCTCTGGGGTAAAGGTGCAGTCTTCATTATATGTTTTATAGTCATGATAAAGTACATTTTTTAGATTTTGTTTATTTTTATATGTATGTTTGTTTATGCATCGTGTGTGTGTGTGTGTGTGTGTGTGTGTGTGTGTTTGTGTAGTGCCTATTGAGGCCAGAAGAGGGTATCAGATCTCCTGGGACTGGAGTTGTGAGATGCCATGTGGGTACTGGGAATTGAACCTGAGTCCTTAGCCACTGAACCATCTCTCTATCCCCCAACACTTTTCTTTTTTGAGATGGAGTCCCATGTAGCCCATGGTGGCCTTGAATTTGCTAGGTAACTGATGATGGCCTTGAATTCTTGATCCTTTTGCTTCCACCTCTTGAGCTGGGATGACAGGTGTGCACCAATTATACCCATTTATTCTAAGATGGAGCCTGGGGCTTCATGCTCTCCAGGCGAGTACTGCACTGACTGAGCTACAGTTCCAACCCTGATAAAGTGGCGTCTTCAGGGCACAAAGCTTCCTTCCTTATGAGATGAAGATGCTACTAATAGACTTGCCCTAGTAAGAAGCATTCCTTGCATCCTTCTTTCAGGTTGTAGATGACACAGGACTGTGCTAGCATTCTTTAGCATGTAGGGATGGGAACGGGCTCTCAAATGTGTGTGAGTGTGAGAGAGAGAGAGGTGGGGAACAAATGAGGGAGAGAGGAAGGAGAGAGAGAACAATATTGAGAGGCACAGAACAAGAAAGATGGAGACCAGGAGGGAGGGAGGAGACGTCAGTCTATAGTTAGATTGATGATGTGAGGCTTTTGTACTAGGGTGGAATGACTCCTGTGCTTTCGGATGAGACTCTGCACCACTCAGTATTCATACCTGCTTCCTTTTCCATGAGATCTTTCAGGGGACTCAGTCTGCCTTCAAGAAGAGAAGGTATCAGCACAAAGGATGTTGACTGACTGCCTGACGAATTATCAGGTAAAAAGATACACACATGCACACACATTCAAAACATTCCACCTACAGACAATTTCCTCTGAACAAACTTGTCTCTAGAGCTGTTTACAGCAAATAGAGCTTCACTCACCTAAGGCTCTGGCTTCCCGGGGTAGAGAACCTGGCATAGTTTGTCTTCTGTTGCCATGATAAAAACCATCAGTTTACAATTCTCAGATCATAATCCAGCCCTGAGAGATGTCAGTGCCGGAACTTGAGGCAGGAACTGAAGCAGAGACCAGTGATGGAATCTGTTTACTGTCTCATGATCCTGACTTGCTCAGCTACCTTTCTTAAACACACCACACTCACCTGTTGGGGAATGGTACTTCCCACGGTGGACAGGGCCTTTCTTCATCAATCAGAAATCAAGAAAATGCCCAAAGGCCAATCTGATGAAGGCAGTTCCTCAATTAACACTCCCTATTCTCAGGGAATAGTTTGTGTCAAGTTGCCAGTGATTATGACAAAACCTTTCCTATTAAGTGAGTTGGAAATTTACAGTTAATCTTGATCTTAGCTTTACGTCCATGGTGTCAGATCATTTTTCTTTTATTATTATGTTTGTGTGTGTGTGTGTGTGTGTGTGTGTGTGTGTGTGTGTGTGTGTAGAGCACATGCCACAGTGTGTGGATTCAGAGGACAACTGCAAAAGTCAGTGCTCTACTTGCATCATGTGTGTCTGAGGTCCACACTTGGTCATCAGTCTTGGCAGCAAGTAACGTTACCCACTGAGCCGTCTTGCTGGCCCCTGACCAACTGGATGTTTCTTCCTTTTTTGAGTTCCCTGGCAGATGATAAGGTAGATGAGATAGCCTCCTTTTCTAAGATATTTATTCACGTATACACACTCATCACATCTTTAGGAGGTGCTGGCTACTGTGTCTAATACCGAGAAATACCATGATGTTCTTCTGTACTCTTGGTACCAGTTCCTCGTCAGCAGTGACATTTAACTTGAGGAAATAAGAGAGCAAGAATAAGGCAGAAGACGGAGCTCAGCGGTAGAGTTCTTGCTTAGCATGCTCAGTCAGGGTTCTGGGTTCTGTCTCCAGCAAGGTAAAAAGGTGGCTGGGGTCCTTGATGCCTCAGTGGGTAAAGGGCTTCGTACAAATAGAGGGACCTGAGTTTTGAGACCCAGTACCCATGTAAAACTTGGCGTGGCTGCTTATGTCTGTAATTTCAGGGTTGGGGTGGGAACGAGTAGATTCCAGGACTCACTGATCAGCCAGTCTAGCCGAAACAGCAGTTTCCAGGTTTAATTAAAAGGCCTGTCTCAGAAAATAAGGCGAAGAATTAACTGAGGAAGTCATCCCACATGAACTTGCACAGGCAAGTGTTCCTATCAGTTTACATGTGTACACACCATGCACACACACACGTGAGTTTAAAGAGGAGTTTGTAAAGCCACTGGACCTTGGTGTTAGAGACCAGAGAATTTTCTTAGATGTTGGGTTCCACTTCCTCATCCTCCCATGATCATTAACAAAGATCTTAATTGGCTAAGACCAGCATGGCATGTGTTCAATATTTCAGGAGTTGGTGAACTTTGAGGATGTGGCTGTGGACTTTACCCAGGAAGAGTGGACCTCACTGAAGCCATCCCAGAGAAGCCTCTACAGAGACGTGATGCTGGAGAACTACCGGAACCTGGCCACAGTAGGTGAGACTGCTATTGCTCCCTGCAGCCTCCCATGGACTGACAGTGTTTCAGGAATGGTGGTGGTAGCTCTGAATAAGATACAGCCCCATCCCTAAATGCATATTTTGTTTTTTGTTTTTGTTTTGTTGTATTTTGAGACAGAGAGTCTCATTGTAGCCCTTGCTGGCCTGGAATTGAGATGTAAAACAGGATCACCTCAAACTTACAAATATTACCCTTGCCTCTGTCTTTTGAATGCTAGAATTAAAGGTGTATACCACCTTAAATACGTTTTAATGTACTGGGGTGGTTCTCAAAAAGTCCAAGATCTCTATATATTTTGCTGGGTGGTGGTGGCTCATGTCTTTAGTCCTAGCACTCAGGAGACAGAGGCTGGCAAATTTCTGAGTTTGAGGCCATCTTGGTCTGCAGAGTGAATTCCAGGATATCCATGCTACTCAGAGAAACCCTCCCTCCCCCCCCAAAAGAAAGTATATATTTTCCCTCTCTCCATTGATAGGCTAAATTAGAAACCTCAGTGTATAATTTTATATCATTTGTGTGTCAATAAATTCTCTCAGAGTTCAAGAGATGGCTTGGAGGTTAAGAGCACTTGCTTGAGGACCTGGGGTGGAGATCCCAGTACGTATCTAACAAGTGGACTGTGGTCTTGCATGCATCTGTAACCCTGGTGTGGCACTGAGGAGAGGTTGGAAATGAGGATCACTGAGGCTCACTGGGTGCCAGCCTCGCCTCGTGGGGGAAAACACAAGCCAAGGTTCCAGGAGAGACTGCCCTAGAGTAAAGCACCCAGCACCCCACTTTGTCCTTTGTGTGTGGGCACAGGCATTCATACCTGCACACACACATGCATATACCACATGCACATATTTCACACACATACATGTCCACAAATACGTGCAGTTAATTAAGAAGGGCTTGGGGAGATGACTCAGTAAGATGGTTACTGCTCTAGCAAGAGGACCTGAGTTGGGGCCACAGCTCTCCTGTAAAGGCTAGGTGTTATATTAGCCACCATATATACAGAAGCACACCTACCTACACGAACACTTATACACACATACAAAATAATAAGTAAATTAGAAAGCTTAATTATCTTGATAACTGTGATTAAAAATACTATATATGAGCCACTTGTGGTTGGTTAATTTTTCTAGAGGAACAAGATATCTTTGTTGCAGATATCTCTCTCCTCTTTCTCTCTTTTGTTTTTTGTTTTTTAAGACAAGGTTTCTCTGTGTAGCCCCGGCTGTCCTAGAACTCACTCTGTAGACCAGGCTGGCCTTGAACTCAGAGATCCTCCTGTAAATGGAGACTGTACTTTGATTTCCCAGCCACCCAGACCCAAATAACCACACAGAAACTGTATTAATTGCAACATCATTTGGCCAGTGTCTTAGGCTTCTTACTGGCTAGCTCTGAGTATTAAATTAACCCATTTTTATTCATCTGTGTATCGCCACAAGGCTGTTACTTTTTTGGCAGCTACATGGTGTCTCCTTGACTCTGTCTTCTTCTCTTTCTATAGATATCTGTTCAGATTTCTTGCCTGTTTTTACTCTTCTAAGCCATTGGCCCAAACAGCTTTATTCATCAACCAATAATACATAGAGAAGGACATCCCACATCATTCACCTGCTTCTGTCTCCTGAGTGCTGGGATTAAAGGCATGCACCACCACCACCCCGCAAAAAATATATGGAGACCTTGGATTTTTTGAGACCCACCCCAGTATATTAAAACATATTTTCCCAGCTGTTTTTACTTTTTGTTTGAGTAAAAGTAAAGTGCAGGGCTGAGATACGACTCAGTGGTCGAGCACCTATCACTTGCGGGACCCGGTGCAACCCCCAGTACTATAGAAAGAAAACTCTAGTACTTTGTAAATGTATATACGACTAAATTAACTGGGGTCTTAGGCTCCAGAGCAAGCTAAACTTTGAGGCATAGACAGGTGGTACTTGTATAATTAGCGCCTTAAATATAATTTCTCATGATTAATCATTACAACTCTAGTTCCTGGTAGTTTGGTGGCACACTTCTGGAATTCAAGCATGTGGGGGGCAATAAGAATAATATTTCTGTGAGCTTGAAGCCAGCACTTGTCTCCAAACACTGGAGAAAAAGCAGAAATTCTTCATTCTTGAACCCTGGGAAGTTCTGTCATTTTTTCCCTAAGCCCTCTCATTAGCGTGTCTTACCTTGTACACAGGGTGTCAGCTCATCAAACCCAGTCTGGTCTCCTGGTTGGAACAAGAAGAATTTAGAACATGTCAGAACATAGTTTTCCCAGGTCAGTATTCATGGAAATTTTATTTTTTTTCTTTTTCTTCTGAGACAGGGTTTCTCTGTATAGCCCTGGTTATCCTGATACTCACTCTGTAGATCAGACTGGCCTCGAACTCACAGAGATCCACTTGCCTCTGCTTCAAGTGCTGGGATTAAAGGCGTGCACCACCATCACTGGGCTTGGAAGTTCTGTTTAATGAAAATTTAGTATGTTTGCAACTGAAATAAACTTAAAATAAAAAAAAAACCCTTGTGTTGGACTGGAGAGATGGCTCAGTAGGTAAAGGCATTGTGCAGCCAAGCCTGACAACTTGAGTTCAATCCCTGTAACCCACACAGTAGAAAGAGAGAACCAACGCCCAGAGTCCCCTGACCTCTACATGCGTGCTGTGACGCTTGCGTATGTCTGCATATACACACTCAGTAAGCGAATGAATATTTTACAGAAGCTCTAAAATTCTCGTGTATGGGGGCATGTACGTGTTCCCACCGTATGTGTTTTGGAGTCAGAGGGCACCTTCGGTGTCTGTCCTCACTTTCCACCTCATTTGACAGAGCCTCTGTTTGCCACTGCATGTGCCGGGCCGGCAAGCTTTGGGGATTCTCCTGTCTTCATCTAGCGTCTTGTCATAGATATACTGGAATTACAGACAGCCGTATGTGAGTTCTGGGGATCTGCACTTAGGCCCTCACACTGTGTAATACGCACTTTATCCGTTGAACCAGTCAAGCTCCTATAATGAAGTTCTTCAAGATAAAATTTGTCTCAGAACTCTGAGGCAAGAAGAAAAATCTTCAACTTCCGATATTCTTTTAGTTTACTTAAACTTAGTGCTTTGAGAGATGCTCTTTTTCTAGAAGTTTTCTACTCTCTTTCCCTGATAATTTCTTTCTGTTTACCATACTTTTAATTTTTATAGAATCAACTTTTGATACGGCCTGAAAGTTCGATCCAGTGTCATTATCTTTGTCTGACATGATGGCACATTCCCGTAGTCCTTCTACTCAGGAATGTGAGGCAGAATGGTTATGAAGTCAGCACAGTGTGGGCTGTGCAGTGAGCTAAGGGCTAGGCTGTTTAGTCTCAAAAATAAAACAGAGAAAAAAATCCTCATCTGTCTCTACTTTTTCTACCTTTTAAAATTCAAAATAAAATAAATGAGCCTTATTTTTAAAAATAATTTATTTTTATTTTATTTGCATTGGTATTTTGCCTGCAGTGAGATCTGTGTGAGGATGTGAGATATTGGAGTCAGAGACAGCTGTTAGCTGCCATGTGGGTACCTCTGGAAGAGCAGCCAGTGCTCTTAACCACTGAGCCATCTCTCCAGCCCAAACCTTATTTTTTTAATTCCTGCTTTCTACCTCCTTCTCCATACTCCTACCTTTATTTTTCTGTTTCACTTCAGAATGGAAAATGCAGCCTGAAACCAAATGTTCGGCATTCCAACAGGAATTTCTGAGGGGTAACATGCCCGGTGGGTTGCACATGGTAAGAATAAAATTTATCTTATCTTTACTCTTGAAGGAAACTGGAGGCTAAAGATGTGTCTCTTGTAGAGTACCTGTTTGGCATATTTGAAGATCTTCGAGGAGAAAACTAGGAATTCCATTAAAGGAGCTTTGAGAGAAGTAGATAATATACAAGAACAAATGTCTGAAGAAATAATATGAAATTGTATCCCCAATGTGTGGTGAAACTCACTGCTTCAGAACTCATACAAATTACATCTTTTTCTTGGACTGGTGCAGAGAGCTTTTAAGGATTAGAGCAGATGACACAGCATTCTGGAGAAAGTGTTTAATCCCACCACTTAGTATGAACTGTATGCAGGTAGTGGAAATAATCATAATTACATTTTTTTGTTATCAAATGCTTATAACATTAACAATTGGCTGCAAAAACAAAACGTTGTTCTTCCTTCTTACCAGCAAACAGGAAGCCAGAGTAGAGGGGAGCTCCATAACTGGACAGAGTCTGGAGCTTTCTGCAGTGATCTCTCACCCCTTCAGACACATGCGAAAACTCAAGCGACACGGGATGACGATGATTGCAGTCAGTACAGAAGAGACTTCCTGATGCTTCCCAAGAAAAGCTGCGCTGGTGAGGAAGCCTCTACGACCCCAGTTAAAGTTGATCGAAAAACTGCCACACAAGAGAAATCTTTTGAATGCATTGACTGTGGGAAGTTTTTTATTAATCAGACACATCTTCAAACACATAGAAGAACTCACAGTGGAGATAGACTTTATGATTGGAATGAATATGGGAGAAGTTTCATAAACTCGAGACTTGCTGTGCTCATAGAAACTCTCAATGCAAAGAAGCCGTACAGGTGTAAGGAGTGTGGGAAAGGCTATAGATACCCTGCATATCTGAACATTCACATGCGAACGCACACTGGCGAGAAGCCCTATGAATGTAAGGAGTGTGGGAAAGCCTTCAATTACTCCAACTCATTTCAGATACACGGACGAACTCACACTGGAGAGAAGCCCTATGTGTGTAGTCAGTGTGGGAAAGCCTTCACTCAGTACTCAGGACTTAGTATACACGTTAGATCTCACAATGGTGACAAGCCTTATGAGTGTAAGGAGTGCGGGAAAGCCTTCCTTACATCCTCACGACTTATTCAACATATAAGAACGCACACAGGAGAGAAGCCTTTTGTGTGTGTCAAATGTGGCAAAGCCTTTGCTCTTTCTTCAAATCTGAATGGACATCTGAAGATGCACGCTGAAGAGAAGACATGCGAGTGCAAGATTTGCGGGAAAGCATTTGGGTATCCTTCGTGTCTTAACAATCACATGAGAATGCATAGTGCCAAAAGGTCATACACATGTAAGGAATGTGGGAAGGCCTTCAACTATTCCACTCACCTTAAAATTCACATGCGCATCCACACTGGGGAAAAACCCTATGAGTGCAAACAGTGTGGAAAAGCCTTCAGTCATTCCTCTTCATTCCAGATACACGAAAGAACCCACACTGGAGAGAAACCCTATGAATGTAAGGAGTGTGGGAAAGCCTTCATCTGCCCCAGTTCCTTCCGAATTCATGAAATAAGTCACACTCACACTGAAGAAAAACCATATAAGTGTCAGCAGTGTGGAAGAGCCTACAGTCACCCTCGTTCCCTTCGGAGGCATGAAAGAACTCACCAGTGAGCAGCCTGGCTGATGGAAGCTGTGTGAGAAAGCCATGATTTGCTCTAGTTTACTTTGAAGACATGATGGTACTCACAGTGGAGAGACACTGTTAAAATTATATACACAGCTTGGAGCAGTACTGTATGGTAGCTGCTCAGGAGGCTGAAGATGGGGGATACATTTAAATCCAAACTGGGCAACACAGATACTCCATGTCAAAAAAATTAAAACGATTGCTGACAAGATGGCTCAGTGGATAAAATCACTTGTTGTGAATGTCTGACATCTTGAATTTGATCTGTATGCCTGTAAAATAGACAGATAATAGTGGCATTCATCTGTATTCCCAACAGTCCGACAACATAGGAGTCAGGCAGGAGGATCACCTGGAAGCTCACAGGCCGACTATCTTCTGAGACACCTTGTCATGCTTCACCAGGGTAAGAGGACCAGTGCCTTACAGCTGTCCTCTGACCTCCGTATGTTTGCTTACTTCCCACTTATGCCACAGTCATAAGTAAATTTTTAAAGAACTTAATTGAGGGCCATTGAGATGGCTCTGCAGATAAAAGCATTCTACATACAATCCTGACAACTTGGGTTCTATCCCTGGTTCCCCACAGTGTAAGGAGAGAAGTGGCTCTTAAAAGCTGTCCTCTGACCTCCACGTCAATGCTGTGGCACCCAAGCCCACTGGCCAGCCCCCAGTAATAATACATTTTAAAAATTAAAACGAGGGTCTGTAGAGATGGCTTAAACAGTTAGAAGCACCCGCTGCTCTTGCAGAGGACATGGGTTCAGTTCTCGGCACTCACTTGGCAACTCACAGCTATCCACAACTCTAGTTCCAGGGGATTTGGCACCCTCTCTGGCCTCTATAAACGCTCAGCAGACATAGACTTCACCTACATGTGCAGGCAAAACACTTATTATACACATAACGACAATGAAAAGGAAAGGATGCTGTAATGAGCCCCTTAGGGCAGAGTGAGCGATGTCCTCAGAAGGTTAAGGTGCAGCAGGATGCACACGGAGATCGTAGCAAGTCTTGAGCCTTCTGCAAATAGAGACACATCGTTACCAAGATGTTTGTGCTTGTGGCCTCCAGAGGAAACTACCTGAGCTGTGCTGATCTTTGATCTCCAGCCTCCAAATTGTAAGAAATGAATAACCGTGTTTAAGCTACCTGGTGTGTTACTTTGGTGCATTAGCTCTAACAAATAGATGTAATAATCAATATGAATAAACCTTTAGACTACTCAATGCTTTGGTTGCATACAGGTCTGATTGCAGTGGCCCCTGTTTCTATAATCCTACAATTTGTGTGGTAGAAGTAGGATTGAGTTTAAGACCTGTGCTGTACAGCAAGATCTTGTCTTTCTTTTTTTAACATTTTTTTCTTTAATATCCTATCTTTAAAAATCAAGGGGTAGGGCTAAAATGATGACTTAGCAGGTAAGAGCACTTGTTGCTCTTCTAGAGGACCTAGTATTTGGTTCCCACTGCCCACATGTGGCTCACAATCATGCCTGTAACTCCAATTTCAGCTCGTCTGATGTCCTTTTCTGGCTCCCGAGAACATCATACAGTCATGTGCTACACATAAATACATGTAGGCAAAACACTCATGCACACAAAATAATAAAAATTCTTTTTTTTTGAAATAAGTTTATCTGTGTAGCCCTGACTGTCCTGGAACTTGATCGGTAGACTAGGCTGGCAATGAACTCTCAGAGATCCACCTGCCTCTGCCTCCTAAGTGCTGGGATTAAAGGCGTGTACCACCACTGCCCTGCTGAAAAAAAATCTTAAAAAAACAAATAGTGTGGGGGGATGGGGGAGGGAAATGGGAGGTAGGGAGGAGTGGAAATTTTTAATAATAATAATAAATAAATAATAAATAAAGTTTAAAAAACCCAAATAGCATGAAAATAATGGCACACTAATATAATCCTAACACTTGAGGGCGTGAGGCCAGACTGATCAGGAATTCAAGGCCAGTATTGCCTACACATTGAGTTTGAGACCATTTTGGGTGTCATCAGATCCCCTCTCAAAACAAAAAAACTGAGAGTTGTGGCAGATCTCCTGTCTTCCCAGGACTCAGGAGGTGGAGGCAGGAGGACTAGGACTTCAAGGTCACCTTTGATGTGGTAAGTTTGAGGCTGACCAGGGCTAACTGAGTTCCTGTTTGTGGTAGTTTGAATGAGAAAGACTCATGTTTGAAAGCTTGGTCCTCAATTAGTGTAACGGTTTGAGAAGGATTAGGAGGGATGGCCTCGGAGGAGGTGCATCACTTGAGGTGGGTTTCAAAAGCCCATGCCAATCCCAGTATATCTCTCTGCCTGCAGATTGGAATGTAAAGCTCTCAACTTTGCTCCAGTACATACATGTCTGCTTCCCCCAAAATAAATGATCATGGACTGGCCCTCTAAAACTGTAAGCAAGCCTCCAGTAAATGCTGCTGCTGCTTTTGAAATAAGAATTGCCTTAGTCATGGTGTCACAGCAATAGAATAGTCACTAAGACATCGTCTCAAACACAAAACATAAATACCTGGCAGGGGAGATACTATGATCATAAAGGTGGTTTTCACAGAGCATGGCCTATTCATTGTACTCTAAATGTTTAGACCCCTGCATTTCCCCCAAATATGGGAACTTGACTGTAAAATTGGTGGTAGTGAGGAGCTGCATAGCTGCTAAGCCACCTCTGAAGCCCACAGATGAACCTTGTAACATATGAAAGTATGGTTGTTTGCTGTTGTTGTTTTCCAGACAGGGTTTCTCTGTAGCTTTGGAGCCTGTCCTGGAATTCACTCTGTAGACTAGGCTGGCCTCGAACTCACAGAGATCCACCTGCCTCTGCCTACCAAGTACTGAGATTAGATGTGTGTACCAGCACCACCTGGTTATTTTAATGACTTTCCAGGACTTGTGAGAGAACTCTGAAAGTAAAGGCTTCTTAGTGCTGATCCAGAGGACTCGAGTCCAGTGTCCAGAATGCATATGGTGAGAGGAGAGGACTGACCGGCACACGCTGTCCTCTGGCCTCCACGTATGCACCTTGCTGTATGCACAGAGACACATAAGGAAAAAAAAATTAAAAAGAACTTTAAAAATGTAGACTTTTGAATTCTTTGCCAAGCAGTTCAGCCTTCCAGCTCTTCTGGTTTGATTAGGAGGTCTTCTTAGTGGACAGCCTTCTCCTTAGGGTCACCCCAGTGCTACTCCGAGAGGAGAAAACAAGCTCTATAGCAGCCCTAGATTCAAAAGAACCCAGATACAGAAAAACAACTAGAATTACCTGTCCCACCAATGACCATACAAAAGAAAATGGCTAATATTGTTATCTGTTAAATCAAAATTAAGAAATGGTGTCCCATGCCTTTAATAGCAACAATTAAGAGGCAGAGGCAGGTATGAATTCCATCTTGCCGCCTTGTATACTAGTTTTTAAAATTAATTTTTAAAAATCAAATAAAAAAATTGAGCCCAGCCTGAGACAACACATACCCTCATACAAAACCTGTGAATTCAAGAGTAACAATAAAACTCAAATATATAAAAGGTATACAAATGAGCAGGAAGTACAACAAAAGATGGTTAAATCACTAAATGGAAAATAAAGCCAAACCACAACAAGAGGGCTGTAGTGTATCTTATGTATTTAGCATGTGTAACAGAAGGGCTGTAGTGTATCTTATGTATTTAGCATGTGCAAAGGTATAGATTCCCTGCAGAGTACAAATGAGATCTCATTTACCACACTGATTCTGGTTATCATCAACAGCAGTTGGAGGGGGAATTCTAAAAAGCAAAGCAGGGCTGGCAGGATGGCTCGGTGGGTAAAGGCACTCCTGCCAGGGCTGATGACCTGAGTTTGACCCCTGGAGCTCACATGGTGGGCAGAACCGACTCTAGTAGTTGTCCTTTGAAATCCATGCATGTGCCCACCCCACATAATACAAAATGAAAAGTAAGAAACAAAAAGAAGGAACTGTGAGTTACATAGTAAAATGGCATAGCGGGTCTGGAGAGCTGTATGGTGGTTTCACTATTAAAAACCATTATTATATGACTCAGTGGTACTCCTTTCCTGTAAATCCAAAGCACCGAGAGCTGGAAGCCACTTCGATGTGGATAGAACGATTACTGACAATAGTGATTGTTTCAAACTTCAAACAAGAATCTTTTTCATCCTGCTTTTTATAGTCATTGAAATTGTGCCCCAGACCTGTTAGCCAAGGCTAGGATAACCCTATGACTGTGAAGAGCCCAATCACTTAACACTTTCAGATCTGACCCAGAAACTCCTGGATAGATAGTCACGCAAGCCTCCTCCCTGACTGCCTTCTCTGCTGGCAGTTCTAGTCTACCCACTTATGAGCTCTGATTACCTAGGTGAAGGAAGTCTGCACCGTCTGCTCCAACTGCCCAAATTATGCTTTGGGCTACTGCCACCTAGTGGTCAGACTTGAACACTGCCCAGTGTAGTTTTTTTTAAATTTAGATTCCTGATCCATTTGTAGTTTATTGTTGTATATGATATAAGGTATAGTTTTAAAATTTTATATCTATCTATCTATCTATCTATCTATCTATCTATCTATCTATCTATCTATCTATCTATCTATCTATCTATCAATCATCTATCTATCATCTATCTCTCTATCTATTTGTTAGGGATGTGAACATGACAGAGCACTTGTATGAAGGTTGGAGGACAACTTGCGAGTGGTACCCTATCCTGTCGTGTAGGTTTCAAGGATCAAACTTAGGTCCTCAGGCTTGGCAGACAGCCCTAAGGTTGAGATTTGTGTGTGCCATTGACACAAACTACTTTTTTTTTTTTAAAAAAAAAAGTGTTTATTTCATGTGAGTGTGTGTGTGTGTGTGCATGCGCTTGTGCATGTGTGTGTGGCCACACATATCCATGACCACAATCAGAGGCCAGAGGAGGACGTTGGCTGTCCTACTCTATCAAATTCTTCTTTATCCCCTTGAGACAGGGACTTTCAGCTTTGCTGTTTTTAGAGTAAGCCAGCAAACCCCACCAATCCTCCTGGTTTCCTTTCCCTACCATTTCCAGGGTTGCAGGAGCACATGACCATTGCCAGCTTGTCTATGGGTCCTCGGGATCCAAACTCAGGTCTCAGGCTTATGTGGTAATAGCTCCTGTCCACTGAATAGCTCCTCATCCTCTCTTTTAGTATTCTTAGTGGTACTATACTGTTTTTCTGAGTAAACTCCTGGGGGTTGCCTGATCAGATCAGCACTTTTACAGGGCACAGATGAGACTGAACCATAACACAGAAATATGCAGAAGAAAACAACACAGTGTGTTGGCAGCTGTTGTCAGTGTGACACAAACTAACGTCATCCGGGAAGAGGGATTGTCCCCCATCAGATTGACCGTAAGCTTGTCTGTGGGGGGACATTGTCTTGATTAATGGCTGACATGGGAGGGCCCAGGCCACTGTAGGTGGTGCCACCTCTGAGCAGCTGATCCTGGAAGGTATAAAAAAGCATTGGAGAAACCAGTTTACAGCACTCCTCCATGATCTCTTGTCTCAGCTCCTGACTCCAGGTTCCTGCTTCTGAGTTCCTGCCCTGACTTCCTTCAATGATGAACTGTGACTAAGATATAAATTAAACCCTTTCCATCCCAAATTGTTTCGGGTCATTTTGTTTCTCACAGCAACAGGAAATCAAACTAAAACACCTAACCATGTTGTTTTGGGGGAAGCATAGTGAAAGATTTTGGAGCTTTGGGCTAGAAAAAAATCTATTGAATCCTCTGAGCTTGCTGAGATGTTATGG